CTAGGTCTGGGAGCAACGAGACCCTCGCTGATCCTGCCGGATGGAGATGGCAGGGGCGGAACCTACCCCCGGACAACCAGACAGTGACCCAACTGGTGGTGGTGGGGAGGAAGAAGGGGAACATCAAAACATAGGCATCTGAAAGCAGCAGAATTGGTACATAGATCAAGTCATTTTAAAAACAGGTGTAGGCCCACGATTGGTCAGGACCAATGAATGAATGATGCAGCATTAGAGTCCTCCTGGCAGAACTTTCGCTAAAGCTTCCATTTCTCCTTAATACAAAATGTACTTCTGCACTTTAACCAAAGTAAAAATATATAACACACATATGCCAAAAGTCATGGGACAGGAACTAGTATCATGGAGGATCCCCTCTAACCTGGCAAAGTGCAGCAACTTGATGGACACAAGACATCTGGAGGGATTTTGAGCCATGTCTGGATAGCAACCCACAGCTCAGTGGCATTTGTAGGTGCAGGATCTCTGATGTGAAGGGACCTCTCTACCACATCCCATAAATACTCGACTGGGGCAAATGTACAGGCCTCATCATTTGCCAGAACTCCCTAGAATGCTTCTCAAACCAATTCTGGACAACTTGGGCCTGATGGCCTGGAACATTATGCTGCTGTAATATCCCATCATTACCGGGGGGACATGAAGTCCTTAAAGGGTTGCAAATGGTCACTGAGCAGTGAAATGTAGCGGTCACTTATCAATGATGTTTTTAGGTGGAACAATGGACCCAACCTATGCTATGAGAACACACACCACACCAGCCTGCACAGTGCCTCGTTGACAACTGTGGTCCATGGCTGATTGGGGTCTGCGCCGCACACAAACCCTACCATCAGCCTGAAACAATTGGTACCATGACTCATCGGACCATGGCACATGGTGCCAGTCCTCTAGGGTCCACTTAGCAAACTCACAAGCCCAGGGGAGGCACTGTGTTTGGTGTCGTGGTGTTAACAGACGCACTCTGGTGGGTCTTCTGCTCCCATATCCCATGCAAGCTAAAGAACTCTGCACTGACCTGTGGGATATGCATGTGGGGCCTCCTGCATTGAATGTGGATGTGATTTCTGCCAGAGTCTGTTGTCTGTTCACGTTGACAATTCGAGCCAGACGCCACCGGTCATGATCATTAAGCACCCGTCCATTGTTTTAGTTTAAGGACCCTAATGCCAGTACAATGTCATTTATTTTCTAATGTTATGTTGTGATTATTGGGATAAGCTCAATTACTGCTTTATCCTGGTTTTGTGTTATTCAATGTGTATGTGTTTGTTATGTTATAGGCAACGTTCAAATAAAGTGTTCCCTTTTACTTTAAGTATTGCTTTTAAAATATGCTATTTGGCGATTATACATGTCTAATGACATCCTATGTAGGTAACCTTCAAACATAGTGTTATTGTTATGTTAAATATAATTTAAAAGCAAACTTTTTTGGTGACTATGGTTCCCTTTTAAAGGACTAGGAGAGCAGAAAGGCAATATGGATGTGACTAAATAAGCATAGTTAAAGTACCAGTGACACCAATTTAGCTACTTGAACTTTAACTCTTCTGTCCACTCACATTATCCTGCAAATAGCTCATAGCCATGATAACAGGGAGGAAACAGAGGCCATTGCTGAGAAGAAGGCCAACCAGACAGAAATAAACCAACCACACTGCACCAAAATTAGTATCGCAGAAGTGAGAAAGAACAAATGCATGCTGGGAATTGGCACATAGTGTCCTGTAATAGCATCAAACTTAAAAGTCTGATGAAGAAAGCATGCTTCATCCATGTTACAGATATTTCTTCAGAATAGCATAGAATTAATAGAGTGCCGGGACTGATTTCCTCTGTTTTTGAATGTTTGTCAAACTAAATGGTTGTAGATTTTCCTAAAAAATGTAAAATATTACCGTAAGAACAGGAGGAAAAACAAAACACTGTTTTAATGATCATTTATTGAAAGAAAAAAAGATTTGCAACATCACAATGTGAAAAATGTAATTGCCCAGTACACTTAATAACTGTTTGTGCCACCTCCAGCAGCAACAACTGCGACCACATGCTTCCTGTAGCAAGAGATCAGTCTGTGATATGGTGTAATTTTGGCCCTCTCTTCTTTGCAGAATTGCTTTTACTCAGTAGCACTGAAGGGGTTCTTGAGCACAGAGTACCCATTTAAGGTTCTGCCACTTATTCCATTCCCAAACCTTAACTTTGTTTCTTCTAAGCCATTCAGAGGTGGACTTGCTCTTGTGCCACAGATTGTTGTCTTGTTGTATTATCCAGCTGCACTTCAGATCATTAACTGAAGACTGGAATCACAATTATGACACTTATGTCTACAGCAAGACTCTGAAGCAACAAATCACACTACCACCACCATGTTTCGCTGTTGGTATGATGCTCTTATTGTGGAATATAATGTAAGAATTATACCAGATGTAACAGGACCCCTGTATTCCAAACAGTTCCCTTTCAACTAATCGGTCTACAAAACATTATTCCAAAAGGCTTCTGGGTCATCAAAGTGTTTTTGTAAAATTTGAGACAAGCCTTTATGTTCCTCTTGGTTAGCGGTAGATTTTGTCTAGTGACTCTCATGGATACCATTCTTGGCTAGTCTCTTTCTATTGGTGGAATCATGAATACATCTGTGTATATAATGTATTATATTTAAATATCTTAATAAATTATAATGAATAATAATTCACTCATCAGACAGAGGCACATGAAGTTCTTTGCTTCATATGATAACAAAAACAAGCTGTAATACCACAACACCCAACCCCCACCAACATGTCTTATTGTGTCCAAGAAGAGGAAGCAAGTTACAAGACAGGAAATGTGTGTGCATGCGCACTTGCAAGCAACAGAGGTGCAGTCAGATACACCAACTACTCAGCAACAGAATAGTTCTTATCATGTGTAAATCATGTGTGCATGTTGTATGACCACAGTGGGCTGCCCAGAGCTTCCATCAAGACTTATCTTAGCTAAAGCTCCCGTCAGTAGTGCAGAGAGTGGTCAATGACAAATCAACAGAAAGATAGCCTCCCCTTCAAACAATGACCTAAGCAAGACTGTGGCCCTTCAGGACTGGCAAGTACACTTTATTAGATACATCTACCTTTTCTCTACACTCACTGGCTGTTTTATCAGGTGCATCTACCATGTAGGTGCTTTGAGGTTCTACAATTACAACCCACTGTCCAAAAAAGCCCAGAAACACTTGAACAAGCTATGATTTTAAATGTTTTACAACATGGGGATATTATTTAGATGGATATTGATTCCTCTGTACTCCACTGCTTGGAATCTGTTCTCTGTGTTTCCTAGCCAACTCATTGTCCCGCACACATCACTGTGTACTTTATGATCAGGTTTCCTGGCCTTCATTAAGCCTAACTTTTGATAAATCATTACAGAACTATGCAGTAAACTGTAAATGGTTTAATTGAGCATAAAGTTTATTATGTAATTTTATAAGTGCTCAATATGAACCTCCTCCAGCTGTACAGACAACATCAAAACCATAGTCAAATTCATCCCATACTCCACTGAGCATGTCGGGTGTCACTGTACTCACGGTTCTTTCAGTGCGATTTCAGAGATCATCCAGTGTTGTGGAACCAATGACGAATGCTCTGAGCTGTTGGAGGTTCACTGCCAACGGAAATCACGCTGCACAGTTATGACGGATTCAGTGGAGAATGCAAAACGCTTTCTGCTCATGGGTCTCCATCTCCTCTCAGACTGAAGGGAGCCATCTTCCAGTGACAGTCAGAAACTCTATGACTCCCTCTTTCAATTGGATTTTGATTGGTTCTTAGGCGACTCACAGTTGTAAAAATATGGCGCTTTGAAATTGGATGAACATTTTTGAATCACCCTGTACATTGCTGTTGTCGGAAGAAACGCTGTTTTGTATTATGAACATGTTTTATTTAAAGTGCCAATGTCTTCATTGTTATGCTTAATTTCATTTTTCATGTAACTGGAAACTGTTTGCTGCCTTGGCCAGGTCTCCCTTGAAAAATACTTTAATCTTAAGTGACTTTCTGGTTAAATGAAAGTTAAATAATAATAATAATAATAATAATAAAAAAAAAGAATATATAATAGTAGTATTAATAATAATAATAATAATAATAATAATAATAATAATAATAAATGATAAAATTAATATTTTATGTTATCTCCTTTTTATAAAAGACACTCTGAGACCACATCACATTAGCCTGTGTCATTTTCAGCAGATATAAACAGAAACCACAAGATGCTGCTCTGTTGTTGCTATTTATTTATGAAACAACCGAAAAATATGAGTCATAGAATAAAAGTATTATCTACAGCCAGAAATTAAGCCTGAGATCAAAATTCATGCTAATCACTGCAAAACAAAACCATTCCCAAAAAAAACACAATGTGATTTGGGTGCCAATCTTTTGTACATGACTGTAAATGAAATCCTTTACCTTTTTTGTCAAATTTAAAGTAATTCTCAATGTAATAAAAACAAAATTAAGAACCTTTTAGAAGCTAAATATGTAAATATAAAAAGGAGGTCTAAAAAATGTTTTCTGCAAATTTACAAACTTGGAACAAAAATATTGCAAAATGGAGACATATGCAGATGTAATACAGTGAGAAAGAAGGTAATTTGACTGACCACAACAACCATTAACACAGTAAATGTTCATTATAATCATCAAATCTGTGTGTGGGGTTAGGTAGGTATGTGTGAATATGGGTATGTGTGTGTGTTGGGATTGTGTGTGTGTGTGTGTGTGTGTGTTTGTATGTGCATGGGTGTGTGCATGTATGTGTATGTGTGTGTTTGTGTGTGTGTGTGTGTTTGTATGTGCATGGGTGTGTGTGCATGTATGTGTATGTGTGTGTTTGTGTGTGTGTGTGTGTGTGTGTGTGTTTTTGTATGTGCATGGGTGTGTGTGTGTGTGTGTGTTTGTGTGTGTGTGTGTGTGTGTGAGTTAATTCAGTTTGATGCTGGTGTATTCAGTAGTTTCTTCAGTGTCTAACAGTACAGTTGCTGATGTTGATCTTTCGAAGTAGACTACAGTAGAATACGTCACATCATCCTGCAGAAATAACACATTAACACATTTCAGCTAACACTTCAACATTATAATACTATTTAATACTATTTAATAGGCTTAATAAGCCTTAACAAGCCATTAGTCAAGAACTAACAAGCTGCTTATTACTACATTATTAAGCAATAATTAGGGTGAAATGAGTATCTTTCAAAGCCCTTTAATTTGTGTATATCGCTGTTCTTGGAACAAAACCTTGTATCTCCAAAATGGTAACTTTACAGGAGAAGGAAAAAAAAAACACTTTATTTTTAATGTAAGTCAATGGAACCAGAGGTCCATTCTTCATAAAATTTACACGCAATGTAAAGAACATCAGACATTTTCAAATTATGTTAAAAACTGAGAAACGACAAAAATGGAGATATGAGGTTTTTTTCTGACATCAGCAATATACTATTGAAGTAATATGCATCATACGTTAAAGGTCAGTCTTGTTTTCAGTCTCTGATTTTACTTGTTTACTCGAGACCAGTTGAGTACAAGATCTCCTTTATTTTAATTTCATTTTCATTGTATGTTCATTTTTTCTATAAAATTACTGAGTAAACTAGAGTGCATTTACACTTTACAGTATATAATATATGAATAAAAATGCTGTGGAAACTGTTTAATTCAGTCTGGTTGCTGCTTGATAATTAGCAGCCATTTAGAAATTGGCTTGATTAACAGTTGCTTAACTGTTGTTGTCTTGATAAGGCTTAATAAGGGCATAATGGACACCAAATATATGCAAAAGTTTATGATGTACAACATACAAATAAAGATGCTTTAAAAAAATGCAAGTTTCATAAGCAGCTTCTTAATTACGAACTACTGGCTTGTTGAGCATTAGAATGTCCCCATATACTGAACTGTTATGTAAGAAAGAGCAAACATACTATTGCAATATTACTCACGTTTTCTTCAAATGTTTTACATTTGTCTTTTTTATCCACAGCAGCGTACAGCACCTCACAATTGTCCTGCAAGAACACAAATTTGGTAAATTATACAGATTATGAACTACAACGAATATGAATAGAATACAGTAATACCTCCCTTGTAACTACATTAATGACTCCCAAAGTCAGTCCTTGGGACCCCATGCTTTGCAGATTATTGTGTTTTCCTGCCCCTTACACGTAGAACCATATATAACAGGTTTTCCACCATGGAGAATAACCATTTAACCATGAATAGAACTCTGCATGCATTGAAATGGGTGGTTCTATATGTAACCATTTTTAAGAGTACACCATACAGGTGCACTTTACAGGTTTAAATTCACTGAGTGTAGCCTGTTTTCTGAAGACCAGTCAAGGGCAAGACCTCCTGTATTTTATCCTATCTTACAGTTATTGGCTTGATAAGGTTTAATAAGGGCATACTGGATACCAAATATTAAGGGAGTTTATGACCTACAATGCACAGAGAGAAGTGCTCTGGAAAATGTTTATTTGAACCTAGTTATTGCTTAATAATGTAGTAATAGGCAGCTTAATTACCAACTATTGGCTATTGGCCATTATAATATTCTCCTATACTGAAGCATTACGAAATGTTATCATACACATGGAAGTAAACACGATTGCAACGGTATTCACCATTTCTTGACCTTTGTTGCATTTGTCTTCATTTACAGTGGCAAACAGCACTTCAGAATCGTTCTGTAAAACACAAATTTGGGAATTTACACAGGTTATAAACACATTAAAATACAGGAACACCAAATCAGGACTCCATGCTTTGCACATCTTTTCCATGCAATCAACCATATAAACATTCAAATTTGTGTCGATAACCATTTTTAAGAGTAGTCCTTTTTGTATTACCAATAGAAAACTACCAATAGAAAAAGACCACCTCTGAAGAGATACCACCAATGAAATGCGACTTTATCACCGTTGGAAAGAAACCATCATTGGACCAGCAGGTATTATTAGGTGGAGAATTTCCCACACAGCAGCGGCACTAACACAGTAGAAACATGCTACTATGTTTTAGGCCACATCACAGTACAGAGAAATAATAGTAAATAGTAAAAATTGTAAAGTGTGGCACTTGACACAATAGACCAATAGACCACGCTATCTTACTAGATAGACTAGAAAACCTTGAAGGGGTAACAGGAAAAGCTCTTTCCTGGTTCAAGTCCTACCTCACTGATCGCTATCAGTTTGTTAATATAAACGGTGAATCATCTGCCATCGCAAAAGTAAAGTATGGTGTTCCACAAGGCTCTGTTTTAGGACCTATATTATTCACATTATATATGCTACCACTGGGCACTGTCACACATCAACCCGTGTCGCAAGATGACTTGGACTTCATTTCCCAGAACCCTCAGGAGGATCACGTGACGACACAACTTCTCTCCGACTCAACAAACTACATTACCCACAATACTATGTGGAATCACATGACCTCTGAGGAGATCACACGCTCCTATCAGAGGTTGTGCTCACCTGAATACTAAATGTTTTCACCTGTGTTTTGAATCATATGACTTAGTCAGATTAGCTTTTAAGCCCGGGCTTTAGTTTAGCTGTTTGCGAGGTATTGCTTCTCCATGAACATACTGACCGTTTTTCCCAAAGTGTTATTTGCTGTACATTTATGACCATTATTTCATTCTTTGACCTTTTGTACTGTTGCCTGTCTTTGCTGATCAGTGTTTTTGGACCTTTGCCTGTTTGTTGACTTTGTTTTTGCCTCGCCCCTTTTTGGACTTTGTCTGCTCGGTGATATGATCACTGCTTTGTTTCTGGTTTGTCTTTTGGATTTGACCCACGCCTGCCTTTTGACCCCGCATCTGCCTAGCCCCATTAAAACACCTTTTTTCTTTTTAATCCGTGAGCATCTGGTTTTTGACGAATCCTTACAGGCACCATTATCAGTAAACGTGGCATAAATTTCCACTGCTATGCCGATGACAGTTATATTTTGCAAGCGAACCGGATGATAAAATTAAACTTGGCAAGATTGAGGACTGTATAAAAGATGTAAAAGACTGGATGTTGAGTAACTTTCTCCTACTTAACTTGGATAAAACAGAGGTTCTGCTTCTTGGTCCAAAAGCAGCTAGAAACAAACTGTCTAATTTTACACTTAAACTTACCAACTTCTCAGTTGCATCAAGCTCATCTTTAAAAATCCTTGGAGTCATTATAGACCCTGATCTGTCCTTCGACGCACATATAACTAATATTACTAGAACAGCCTTCCTGAATCTCTGCAATATTGCTCAATTAAGAAATGCATTCTCTCTACAAGATGCAGAAAAATTAGTTCATGCATTTATTACTTCAAGGCTAGATTACTGTAATGCCCTGCTGGCTGGATGTCCCAGCAAATACCTTAACAGGCTTCAGCTAGCCCAGAACGCTGCATCCAGAGTTCTTACTAGAACCAGAAAGTTTGACCATATCAGCCCAGGTTTATCAACCTTACACTGGTTACCAGTTAAATTTCGCATTGATTATAAAATTCTATTACTGACTTATGAAGCTCTAAATGGACTTGCCCCATTGGATGCCTACTTGGATCACAAGGTGCTGGCTTACTATTAGTACCTAGAATTAATAAAGTTACATTAGGGGGGAGAGCCTTCTCATACAAAGCCCCCCAGCTTTGGAATAATCTTCCTGTTAATGTTCGGGACTCAGACACAGCCTCAGTGTTTAAGTCTAAGCTAAAAACTTACTTGTATAGTCAAGCCTTTTGTAATCAGTTTTCCCTGTCGGTTCTATACCTGCCAGAGTCTCTGCTGCTCTGCTAACACTGTAATCTGGGATCAGTCACCCATTACAGAACTGACTCTCTGTGTGTTTTCCTTTCTTTCTTTTCTTTGCCGAGTTGAACAGCTGCCCATCCTGTGGGTCTGATGCTGTTGCCTCTTCTGCCTTGATCGGGTGCCACTACTCGCCAGCCCTCTGGAACGGCTTGACCACCATTGAGCTTCATGCTGTACAACGCCGTGCAAACCTCACAACCTGACTCCACTGATGCTGCTGCTGCATGAACTAAACTAATCAAATTATTCATTTGCTCCACCTGTTTTTGTACTATAATACTAATACTAACAATGTTTACTATCCAGTGTCGACCAGAGGAGGATGGGTTCCCCTTCTGAGTCTTGGTTCCTTCCTGTTTCTCTTAGGGAGTTTCTCCTTGCCACTGTTGCCACTGGCGACGCTCATGGGGGCTGGATTTCTTTCTGTAATGCTGATTCCCTTGTAAAGCTACTTTGTGACAACACCTGTTGTAAAAAGTGCTATATAAATAAACTTTGCTTGCTTGCTACTATGTGTGATGCTGGTAGAAGTGTATCAGCTGCAGCAGCACTGCTGAGGCGTTTGAACACTTTATTAGACATACATATCTTGCTGGAAAGCTTTGAATGTGCACAGTTAGGCTACAACTTGTCTTTTTTACATGCACATTTTTTTTTGGCTATCCTCTAGCCCCTTATCAATGGTCAGTTTCTGATCACGAGGCCACTGTTGGCTTGATATAGTAGGCTATTCCTAGGATAGTAGGCTATTCCTCAACCTAGCAGTAATACACTACTAACCTAGCCAAATACACTCATACCAGCTCCAGGCACGGTACAGTGGTCATGCAGTGGTGGTCTTTTTGCACTGAATGAGCTAGAGAGGGGCTTATAAATTGTACAGCAACAGATTGGCTGCAGTAAGTAATTGTAAACCTACAAAAGTGCATCTGTATAATTGCCTTTGAATGTTAGTGAATGTATAGGTGGTGCAATAGAAGATCCACTTCTGATTACCTAAAGAACCATATTTGAAAAAGAGATGTGTGATGGGGTGAAGAACCTTTTAAAGTCTTAAAAAACTTTTTAAAATATTATTTTTCTTGAAAATTTCAGGGTTCTTTTTAGACCATTTACATTATGTGGAGGTTCTTTCAAATTCAAAAATGGCTCTTTAAAGAACCATTAATCGAAAGGTTCTTTGGGGAACCAAGAGTGGTACTCACTTTTAAGAGTGTAATAAACTGCCAGCTCAAGCCTGGATTTACCAGAGGTTTGTGTCAAATATCAAAATACCACATGCTGTCTGTTTTATGTGTTTGTCTTAATGAATATGCAATTGTAAGTGTTTCTTCCTAAAAGTGCAAAATACAGTACAGTGTCAACGCAAATAAATGAGTTAAGCACCCACAGAGCAATTTACCAAGCCTGAAAGCAATGTTAGGAATTGCTATTGCATATGTAAACAATTAGAAATGAAAGGCACGTACTAATCTGATGCATGTTTCCAACCAGTGCTTCCGTCATAGTATTTTCAATGTTCAGTCTAGTATAGACTAAATAGTATTTCTTAACATTTTTCAATTTTTTTAGTCTTTGAGAAGTTCCTACATTATAGGCCCCTTAACGACTCACTTACTAGTTAGGTTTCCATCCAGCTGTCAAATTCAAGTGAATAACAGAAATGTCAAAATGTTAATAACTTGCAGCCTGTTAACCACAATAGCGAAATATAATATGAATAGCCTGATGGTGCACCTTCACTAAAATGAAAGAAATAATGAAATAACTCATCTTTGAGCAACATAAGAGAAGTTTTGGGAAATTCTGGAAACCCTTGCAGGCTACTAAAAAACTTAAACCTTGGCCAACTTAATGGCAAATAGCAAAAGTTGCTAAGCAGTGATTGGAGGGTGGGGCTTTTGAATCAGTTAATTATGCATTGATAGTATAAGAAGTAGAGGTGTTTGCAAGCCCTGCATTTTCAGACACTACACCTCTGGATGTATGCTTTGTCACTGAAAACAATGTAATTACATTACAGAAAAAAACACCTTTTATTTTATTATGTTTTCTCCAAACTTCTATAAAACTACAGTTTCTAAGTTTCAAAGCTGTTGTATAACAGAGATGACATATTAACACTAAAAGAGAAGTCATACTTCTGATCTTACCTGTGTCTCCTGATCTCTTCCCCATTCTGTTTTTCTATCACAGCCCTCCATCTGTCCTTGTCTTTGAGCTGCAGAGTCAAACAAGAGTCAAACTACAGAGAACTCCAAACTTAAATTTAAATACAGTGTTTGTGGACGTGTGTGTACCTCTGTATCTCCAGTAGATGACCCTAATCAGTACCATTAACAGCAGTAAGCCCCCAACAGTAGAAGAAATGATTAACTCCAACTCTATGGTTGATGGACTGGATACATCTGTATTTGAAAGAATAAAGGAGGTAAACATTTATGTAACTGTGTGTGGAATTGGTTTGCACACTTGATTATATGCTTTATCGAGTTAATGAAATGAATGCATAATAATCATGTTGTGAAGAAGATTGGGTTGAAGTGACAATATTGGTTCCTTCAGACTTCATAATTGAAGTTGTTTGATAGGTCTTGCGCAATGGAGTAGTCATAGGTTTAGCTGTGGCTGCTGCAAGAGATAGATCTGATGAGCTGAACATAATAATTCATTCTAAAATGCATTATAGACCACTTTCATTTTTTTGTTCATTCATGTACATTCATGGGAGTGGGCTTTATACATACAAAAACACTTTCTATGAATGCAATGTCTATAAGAGTCTATGAACACATAACATGTTGGTATGCATTAATAAGACATTATAAGCATGACTGTAAACACAGAAACTAGGTTAAACGTGGCCATGTTTATTATGCGTTATAGAATATTTAATATAATGATTTAAAAGTTGTGTTCATAACATGTTACACATGAATGGACATATACTATTATGGCCCTTTTTATTATAAATGGACATATATTATTATAACCCTATTATGAGAACTGGTTGTATGTTTGTGGTATTGTTGCAGAGGTTATTGCACTTGATTGCCTTTGCTCAATGGTAATATTGTACTCAGAGGGGGTCTTGTGGGGAGAGGCTTTGGCAGATGGTTGGGTTGCTGTGATGTGAAATGTAATAGTTTTAGTTTTAGTACTATTTTGATTGATACACTGGTTGACTCTGACTGTGCTCTGATAGATCACATCTCATCACCCTCTCTGCAGCTACAACACTACAGGTGGATGAAGACCAAGCAAAACGGGCTAGAACAACCACGAAAAAGATAAAAAAGTCTTCAGAAAATGCTACAGGGAGAAGATTAGCTAGATTGGTGGATCTCCCAAGTGATTTTTTGAAAATTAATTAAAATGGTACCAAAACTGGCAAAACTTTAAAATAACAAGCATATACACATAAACTAAGCTAAAGTTAGCTCCCTTGCTTGCCAGCTTCTTATTCAGTTTTTCTGCTCCACCTTAAACGTTGCTGCAATTACAGCTACTTTAGACATATAATAAATTTAGAAAAAGAAGATGAAAAATATGAAACTAAAAGGAGCTAACTTCAATTAATTGAATAAATATTAATGAAAAGTCATTAATTTTCATCAATAAATGCATCGTAAAACAAGAAATACCCTAAACCTTTGCTTGGAAATCTTTAATGTGCTGCACAACAGCTATAATCAGTCAGTAGAGCTGCTAGAGTGCTAAACTTATCTCATTGGCTGATCTAGTGCTTCATCCTAAACCTCATACTTCTGTGCTTTATCTAATACAATAATAATAATGAGTGCACTTCTACAACAAATCAAATGAAATCAAAACAATCCGCTGGAGTTCATTGGTTAATATCTTTAAAAAGAAAAGTTTTACCAAAGGGGAAAACAGGCAGACAGAATCTGTATACAAATAGCTAGAAAACAGGCTAAATAGATTTAAACCAGAAACAATATTCAGCACAAGGAACACCCGAATAACATAACCAGTAATAGGCCTCAGAATTGTGAGATAATAGTAACATATAAACAAATATTGTACAAACACAGGATTTATGTACTAGCAAAAAACAGGTGAATACAACAATGTTTTGGCAGAGCTAGGTACCTGAGGAACCAGATCAAAAAAGACCTCAGTGAACAGTGATGAGGGGTTGGAGTTATGTTGGAAAGATCCTAAACAGAATCTCCAGGTGGGGATCATGTGACAATATAATTGTCCCTAATGTATAAATCATAGGAAAATACAAATATGCATATACTCTAAAAATAAATAAACAAAGCTACTGCACACACCCTCACTATAGAACCCTCATTAAAGTTCTTCTTGGAGCATTTGTAATCTAAGGCTAACAAAATTCTATACAGTTTACTCAACACATTTTGCACTCAGAATACAAATCAGTATTTTACCTTTAACAGTGAGTCTGATGTATGTGTATCCACTTGTCATAGCATCACACATGTACTCTCCTCCATCCTCTTCAGTCAGGTGTGATATGAGTAGAGAGAGATTTCCTGGATAGTCATCATTAACCAGCTGAACTCTGTTTCTGGACTGACCACTTTCAATGGGCATGCTGTCCCACTTCTTACTGTTTTGATTGTATTTCTTCCAGGTTAATGTTTTAGGTTTGGCACATAGCTCAGCACAGGAGCAGGACAGCAGTACTGACCCTCCTGTAGCTGCTGTGATATCTAATTGTCCTGTATTGTTGGTCAGAGTGCAGCCTGCAGACACACACATTCAGAATTGAGGATTATTGTATGAATGTGAAGATGCATCCAGAAGCAGTAAGTGTTGCCTTATAAGTAAGAATAAGTAAGAAATGACTGAGCAAATTATTTATAAGGTACCAAATTGTTTTATTTTTTGTCTCCAGCTAAATTTCTCCACACACCTGACTACAGCTACAGGAACCAATTCACTAAAACATTTACTGCATGGATTAAGGTGCACTAAATAAAGATGGGCAATATCTTTGCAAAATACAACAATAAATTACTCTTGATCTCAAGCATGGAGTTTCATTTAATGTAACTAAGCAACATAACACATTTTCAAACAATTCACCATCATTACAAAAGAATCTAGAAGCATTAGGCTTCAGTCTAGTGCTCCTGCAAAGCCAGAGAACTAATGCAGGTGTAATTATAATTAAAAACATTTTTAAAGTTGATTATATCAGGTATTTAGGTATGAGATGATATCTGTACTGTGTGTGTGGATCACAACAGAGTCTTACCCTTAATAGAGAGTCGGATATCTTTGTTCCTGCTACCTTCAATTTCACATCTGTAGTCTCCTCCGTCCCCTTCAGTCAGGCGTGATATGAGTAGAGAGAGATTTCCTGGAGAGTGACTATTAACCAGCTGAACTCTGTTTCTGTACTGACCACTCTCACTGGACATCTCTTTCAATATGTCTATGTTTGTTTGTAAGGTTCTTCCAGGTGAATGTCTTAGGTGTGTCTTGTAGGTCAGTGCAGTAGCAGGGCAGCAGTACTGACCCTCCTGAGTATGCAGTAATCTTTTCTAACTGATCATGGCCTTTCAGTGTGCAGCCTGTAGAAACACACCAGTTAATGACCTTCACTATCACCACTTGTGTAACACTTGCTTTACCAGAAAGAGGACTTTACTTTAAAGGCATTGCTATAAAAAGACATGCTTGACCAGCCTAAGAACAGTTTCCTAAATCATTACTTATGTTATTATACTGTTGAGAAACTCACATTCATCTTAAAACAGTTAGAATTACTGGAAATAAGCGGATTTGAAGTGGCTTTGAAAGCAACCAATCAACTCAAATGATTTTATTTGTTGCCCAGTGCATACCCTTATACTCCAGTGTCATCATTAGGATTACAGCATAATTTTAAAATAAGTATAATATTATTAAAATTATATAAGTATAATATAATTTAAAAAGTACTATGTTATACTAGTATCTACAGTAAGAGATTTAATGATACATTTACCTTCAGCAACATGGAGCACAAGCAGCAGATATAAACAAACCTGCGTTCTGCCTGAGTTACAGAACCTCCTCACTACATACAGAGACAGCACGACTGCAGATATGACCACTCCTACACTCGCTCTACTGACCGATCTGTCAGCTACTCATAAACTACACTACCTCAGTACTTCTGCAGAGCTCTTCACAGACCTACAGTCTACCTGTCACAACCAGCACACAAGCAAATCCTGTATCTCTCTCAGCAGGACTTCACTGGACTCTTCCGCACTCAAACGTTTGCACCTGAAAGAGGAACTGTGTTCAGATGAGCTCATCTTTCTCTCTCTGTCACTCACCCACACTAAATATAGTAATGTGACAGCATCCTGTCAGCTCTTCCACTTTGTTCTCTTGTAGCACACAGTGCACACATAGTCATAAGTCGCTAAAGCCACGCCCCTCTTTCTCTACAGTCACTGGGGACTTTATTAGAAACCCCTGCCTTGTAGCTCCACCGGACGAAAGCCCATCTTTTGAAGCACAATTTGTGTTAGCCATCCGCTAACTCTTTATCAGTGGTTAATCTAACAGTGTACATGAAAATGGACATATTAAAAAGTTTAGATTTTCATTGAATGTGAAAGTAGGGCGGCACGGTGGCGCAGTGGGTAGTGCTGTCGCCTCACAGCAAGAATGGCCTGGGTTCGATTCCCGGCCGGGTGACCAGAGTCGTTTCTGTGTGGAGTTTGCCTGTTCTCCCCGTGTCTGCGTGGGTTTCCTCCGGGTACTCCGGTTTCCTCCCACAGTCCAAAAACATGCAGTCAGGCTGATTGGACATGCTGAATTGCCCCTAGGTGTGTGTGTGACTGTGTATGTCTGTCTGCCCTGCGATGGACTGGAGACCTGTCCAGGGTGTATCCTGTCTTCCACCCAATGAGAGCTGGGATAGGCTCCAGCACCCCACCACTAACCGTGAACCAGAAGGATAAGTGGTTTAGATGATGTATGTATGTATGAAAGTAAAAGATTATTATTAGTAAAATCAGTACTAGAAATGTAATCATTGAAAAACAATGTTTTTAGTTTTAAATATTGTAATGTTTATTTTCATTATTCATTAAAATATTATTAATTCAGCCATTTCATCCCACAGTCCGAAGGCCAAGTGGAGACACTAAATTGCCCCTTGGTGTGAATGTGTATGTCTGTGAATCAACCTGTTTCTATATAACCTGTTTCTATATATAAAAAGCCTATATATAAAAGCTATATATGTAAGCAATAGAAAACTTGAGGTTGTGAGTTTTCATGAATAACATCACGGCTGTGATTTGCTCGTGGACATGACCTGAAGGCTAGTGCTGTAGATCATCAAAACCATGATGTTATTCGTGACAATGCATAACTTTGAGTGTTTTATTGCTTTTACACAAATGTTTTAAGATAAATCAAAAAAGCCCTGACATTCATACGGTATATGTTTTAATGCTGACAATACTTTCTGCCAAAAAGAAGTTCCACAGCTATGTGACAACATGGCTCTATTACTGTCTGTTGCAGCTCCACAGCAGAATTAGATATGTGAGTAAATAGTAAAATAATCTTCCTTTACAGTAAAATAAAGCTCTGCTGATCATTCAAACACAGTTTTAACAATAAATGGTCTGGAGTTAATGCAGAATTGCTAATTCACCCTTTACCCTGAAGGTTGGCACTCAAACTGCTGGTCAACATAGCAGCAGCAACAATCTGGCCCAGCTAGCAGCTAATTTTAAGATGAACAACGATAATTTGGAGACGATTTGACTTAATTTCATTTATAATCACTCAGCTGTTTCCTGATACGTTTGATCTGCAAAGAGAAACTGTCAAACACTAAAAAGTCGTGAAGCTTCAGTCAGTTTCTCATTTGAATTTTTCCTTTCCTCCTTAAATGTTGCAGCAGTTACATTCTGCTACCTTTCAAGTGGAACAGGAAAATTCAGACAAGAAGCTGATGAATGAGAATCTGACTTCAGCCTCGTAAAAAGTCAAACATTGAGAGACATTTTACAAACAACTATTCAATTTGTGGAAAAGTGCCACATAGAATAGAGCCAAAGAACTGTACAAATATCACATTTTTCTATTGTTGCCAAATTACCCTGAGTGTCATTTTGTAACAGCCAGTCTGTAAAGCACTATGGAGCCCATCTTCTTCTTATATCAGAAGCTAATGTTTTATTCAGGTGTTTTTGTCAGTAGCTGGTCTGTTGATCTGGTGTGAAAATCAGTAGCTGGTCTGCTGATCTGGTGTGAAAATCAGTAGCTGGTCTGCTGATCTGGTGTGAAAGTCAGTAGCTGGTCTGTTGATCTGGTATGAAAGTCAGTAGCTGGTCTGTTAATCGGGTGTGAAGGCCAGTAGCTGGTCTGCTGATCTGATGTGAAAGCCAGTAGCTGGTCTGTTGATCTGATGTGAAAGCCAGTAGCTGGTCTGTTGATCTGATGTGAAAGTCAGTAGCTGGTCTGCTGATCTGATGTGAAAGTCAGTAGCTGGTCTGTTGATCTAATGTGAAAGTCAGTAGCTGGTCTGCTGATCTGATGTGAAAGTCAGTAGCTGGTCTGCTGATCTGATGTGAAAGCCAGTAGCTGGTCTGTTGATCTGGTGTGAAAGTCAGTAGCTGGTCTGTTGATCTGATGTGAAAGTCAGTAGCTGGTCTGTTGATCTGATGTGAAAGTCAGTAGCTGGTCTGCTGATCTGATGTGAAAGTCAGTAGCTGGTCTGCTGATCTGATGTGAAAGCCAGTAGCTGGTCTGTTGATCTGGTGTGAAAGCCAGTAGCTGGTTTATTGATCTGGTGTGAAAGACAGTAGATGGTCTGTCAATCTTGTATGAAAGTCAGTAGCTGGTCAGCAGATCAGATGTTTTGTCAGTAGCTGGTCTGTTGATCTCCGTTGGTTTTATTCTCTGCTGTAGACTCACTGCTCCATCTTCATCATGATTGCTGTAGAATATTCTAGCAGCATCCGACACTTAAGTGGTTAAGATAAACAAGAAACTTTTATTTCATGCACAAATCATGCACATTTATGAATACAAGAACAGTAGCAAGACTACAGTGGCTTGAATGTGTTTGTACCTTTGTTTCTCTTGGTGTGATAAACCACAGCTACTATAATGTGGAGGAAGATCACAGTCACCAAGGCAAAGGGGACAAAGGGCAGAGGGTGTGGAGGTTCTGCAATACCAGCAGCATCATTCAGGGGTGAAGTTCCTAAAAATGTCACAGCAAAAACAACAATGTAAGACAGTAGAATAATTATCTGAACATTAAAAATTGATAACATTTACCTTTGATGGCCCACTGATGCTACGGAGATGCTCAGTCTTTCTTTAACTAACACTCAACTGAATATTTATTAAATGCAAAACCTTCACCTACGTCTAAACCTAAACCTAACCACGAACATCAAATAAGCATCACCAGAAAGTTTGTTAGCTATGTAAGTATCTGTAGATCAATTTCAAAGGACCATCAAAACAAGATTTTAGGTTATCTTAACAGTCTGATGCTTCTGAGGAGACTGGGACCTGATCCATATCTCCAAGGTGGTTAGTCAGTAAGTTAAATTTACACTGTTTACTTTTGCTTCGAGAGGAAATTTGTGAAGCTGATGTCTGGAGTGAATGGAGTTTACTGTTACCTTTCTGAGAAGAAGTTGTGGTGGAAGGTTCAGCTGAAGTTTTCAGATGAATGGTCCTGTCAAGTGTTGGAGTAGGTTTTGGTGGAGGAGCCTCTGGAAAGAGAAAAGATTAGGACAGTATCCATGATGAGTGCTGTATAGACTATTTGCCCCATCAATACTTGGCGGGTAGTTGGGTTGCAGTGATGTAAAACTAAAAAGTTTAAGTTTTAGTACTAGTTTGTTACAGTTCTAGTACTGCTTTAGTACATTAGAATGTAGTGGCTTTAATTAACTTCATTGTAGTCTAAAACACTCACTGTCCCGACTCCCTTTGGCTCTGGTTTGTTGATCTGGTGTGAAAGACAGTAGATGGTTGATCTGGTGTGAAAGACAGTAGATGGTCCAGTTCCCCAGAGTACTGTTCAGTAACACGTGTTCTTCTTTGATTAGTTTAGTTAAAAGCCCGGGCTTGTAGATTGACTCTTTGCGAGGTATCGCTTCTTTCCACAGAGCTACTGAGCGTTATTTCTGATTGCTTATTCCTGTTCTGACCTGTTTTGCCTTGTTTTTGCCTGATCCCTTTTGGACTATTCGCCTGGTTATGTTTGTGTTTTTGTGTATTGTCTTTTCTGGATTTGACCATTGCCTGTGACTTGACTACGATTGTGGATTCTGTTTGCACTAGTAAAGCCTCTCAGTCACTTTTTATCTGCGAGCGTCTGTGTCATTCTGTCGTGTTAAAGAATACTTCGCCAGCCATGCAGATGGCGGATCCAGAGGCTTTACAGAAAGCTTTGAATGAGCAAGGACATCTGCTCAGCCGACATCAACACGTGCTAGCAGGGGTAAGTCATTCCCTGGAGTCCTTAGCTCACCAACAGTCCGAACAACAAACCCAGCTAGCGCTCCTCGTTAACAGCGTGAAGGATCTCACCACCCAACTTCAGAGCCTCAACCCAGCAGAGCCCTTCAAGTTCAACTGTGAACTCAAGTGCTGTTTTTCCAGTCAGTAAACTGGATAAATTTGATGGCAACCCTGACAAGTGTCGCGGTTTTTTGCTTCAATGTTCCATCTTTTTTAACAATTCACCCGCTAGCTCTGACCAGGCCAAGATCTCATTTTTGGTATCTCTTTTATCAGATAAAGCTTTAGAATGGGCCACCGCAAGTTGGTCACATATTCACAATCTGTCTTTCAGCTAAGTCCTAAATAAACTTAAAATTGTGTTTGATCACCCCCATGAAGGACAAGTCAGTGGTGAAATGTTAACCAAGCTTGGAAAAAACATTGTGAAAACCCAAATTACCCCTAAACACCTGACTCATGAAGAAAGTGAAGGACTCCTCCTGTCTATCCAAGAAGGAGAGGCTCCGGCGGATGAGAGAAGGTCTCTGTTTGTACTGTGGTGGTGCCGGTCATTTAATACAGGACTGCAGGACCAGGCCACCCAAAAATTCTGCGCCGACCCCTGGAAAGCAAGTGGAGAACACTCCACATGCTAATGTGGTGAGTGTTCCCACAAAGGGGTTGGTTTCCAAGTCATTTTTATTGCCTGTCATTGTCTACTGTCATCAAGTGTCTGTTGTTGTTTCAGCCCTCATTGTTTGATAGGTCTTGCACAATGGAGTAGTCATAAGTTTAGCTGTGGCTGCTGCAAGAGATAGATCTGATGAGCTGAACATAATAATTCATTCTAAAATGCATTACAGACCACTTTCATTGTTTTTGTTCATTCATGTACATTCATGGGAGTGGGCTTTATACATACAAAAACACTTTCTATGAATACAATGTCTATAAGAGTCTATGAACACATAACATGTTGGTATGCATTAATAAGACATTATAAGCATGACTGTAAACACAGAAACTAGGTTAAACGTGGCCATGTTTATTATGCGTTATAGAATATTTAATATAATGATTTAAAAGTCGTGTTCATAACATGTTACACGTGAATGGACATATACTATTATGGCCCTTTTTATTATAAATGGACATATATTATTATAACCCTATTATGAGAACTGGTTGTATGTTTGTGGTATTGTTGCAGAGGTTATTGCACTTGATTGTCTTTGCTCAATGGTAATATTGTACTCAGAGGGGGTCTTGTGGGGAGAGGCTTTGGCAGATGGTTGGGTTGCTGTGATGTGAAATGTAATAGTTTTAGTTTTAGTACTATTTTGTGTGGGTACTCTGGTTGATTGATACACTGGTTGACTCTGACTGTGCTCTGATAGATCACATCTCATCACCTTCTCTGCAGCTACAACACTACAGGTGGATGAAGACCAAGCAAAACCAAGAAAAAGATAAAAAAGATATGTGGACACTTTAGACCAAGTCTTCAGAAAATGCTACAGGGAGAAGATTAGCTAGATTGGTGGATCTCCCAAGTGATTTTTTGAAAATTAATTAAAATGGTACCAAAACTGGCAAAACTTTAAAATAACAAAATAACACATAAACTAAGCTAAAGTTAGCTCCCTTGCTTGCCAGCTTCTTATTCAGTTTTTCTGCTCCACCTTAAATGTTGCTGCAATTACAGCTACTTTAGACATAGAATAAATTTAGAAAAAGAAGCTGAAAAAACTTCAATTAATTTAATAAATATTAATGAAAAGTCATTAATTTTCATCAATAAATGCATCGTAAAACAAGAAATACCATAAACCTTTGCTTGGAAATCTTTAATGTGCTGCACAACAGCTATAATCAGTCAGTAGAGCTGCTAGAGTGCTAAACTTATCTCATTGGCTGATCTAGTGCTTCATCCCAAACCTCATACTTCTGTGCTTTATCTAATACAATAATGAGTGCACTTCTACAACAAATCAAATGAAATCAAAACAATCCGCTGGAGTTCATTGGTTAATATCTTTAAAAAGAAAAGTTTTACCAAAGGGGAAAAAAAAAAACAAAAAACAGGCAGACAGAATCTGTACACAAATAGCTAGAAAACAGGCTAAATAGATTTAAACCAGAAACGATATTCAGCACAAGGAACACCCGAATAACATAACCAGTAATAGGCCTCAGAATTGTGAGATAATAGTAACATATAAACAAATATTGTCCAAACACAGGATTTAAGTACTAGCAAAAAACAGGTGAATACAACAATGTTTTGGCAGAGCTAGGTACCTGAGGAACCAGATCAAAAAAGACCTCAGTGAACAGTGATGAGGGGTTGGAGTTATGTTGGAAAGATCCTAAACAGAATCTCCAGGTGGGGATCATGTGACAATATAATTGTCCCTAATGTATAAATCATAGGAAAATACAAATATGCATATACTCTAAAAATAAATAAACAAAGCTACTGCACACACCCTCACTATAGAACCCTCATTAAAGTTCTTCTTGGAGTGTTTGTAATGTAAGGCTAACAAAATCCTATACAGTTTACTCAACACATTTTGCACTCAGAATACAAATCAGTGTTTTACCTTTAACAGTGAGTCTGATGTATGTGAGTCCACTTTTCATAGCATCACACATGTAATCTCCTCCATCCTCTTCAGTCAGGTGTGATATGAGTAGAGAGAGATTTCCTGGATAGTCATCATCGACCAGCTGAACTCTGTTTCTAGACTGACCACTTTCAATGGGCATGCTGTCCCACTTCTTACTGTTTTGATTGTATTTCTTCCAGGTTAATGTTTTAGGTTTGGCACGTAGCTCAGCACAGGAGCAGGGCAGCAGTACTGACCCTCCTGTAGCTGCTGTGATATCTAATCGTTCTGTATTGTTGGTCAGAGTGCAGCCTGCAGACACACATTCAGAATTGAGGATTATTGTATGAATGTGAAGATGCATCCAGAAGCAGTAAGTGTTGCCTTATAAGTAAGAATAAGTAAGAAATGACTGAGCAAATTATTTATAAGGTACCAAATTGTTTTATTTTTTGTCTGCAGCTAAATTTCTCCACACACCTGACTACAGCTACAGGAACCAATTCACTAAAACATTTACTGCATGAATTAAGGTGCACTAAATAAAGATGGGCAATATCTTTGCAAAATACAACAATAAATTACTCTTGATCTCAAGCATGGAGTTTCATTTAATGTAACTAAGCAACATAACACATTTTCAAACAATTCACCATCATTACAAAAGAATCTAGAAGCATTAGGCTTCAGTCTAGTGCTCCTGCAAAGCCAGAGAACTAATTCAGGTGTAATTATAATTAAAAACATTTTTAAAGTTGATTATATCAGGTATTTAGGTATGAGATGATATCTGTACTGTGTGTGTGGATCACAACAGAGTCTTACCCTTAATAGAGAGTCGGATATTTTTGTTCCTGCTACCTTCAACTTCACATCTGTAATCTCCTCCGTCCTCTTCAGTCAGGTGTGATATGAGTAGAGAGAGATTTCCTGGAGAGTGACCGTTAGCCAGCTGAACTCTGTTTCTGTACTGACCACTCTCACTGGACATCTCTTTCAATATGGCTATGTTTGTTGTAAGGTTCTTCCAGGTGAATGTCTTAGGTGTGTCTTGTAGGTCAGTGCAGTAGCAGGGCAGCAGTACTGACCCTCCTGAGTATGCAGTAATCTTTTCTACCTCCTCATGGTCTTTCAGTGTGCAGCCTGTAGAAACACACCAGTTAATGACCTTCACTATCACCACTTGTGTAACACTTGCTTTACCAGAAAGAGGACTTTACTTTAAAGGCATTGCTATAAAAAGACATGCTTGACCAGCCTAAGAACAGTTTCCTAAATCATTACTTATGTTATTATACTGTTGAGAAACTCACATTCATCTTAAAACAGTTAGAATTACTGGAAATAAGCGGATTTGAAGTGGCTTTGAAAGCAACCAATCAACTCAAATGATTTTATTTGTTGCCCAGTGCATACCCTTATACTCCAGTGTCATCATTAGGATTACAGCATAATTTTAAAATAAGTATAATATTATTAAAATTATATAAGTATAATATAATTTAAAAAGTACTATGTTATACTAGTATCTACAGTAAGAGATTTAATGATACATTTACCTTCAGCAACATGGAGCACAAGCAGCAGATACAAACAAACCTGCATTCTGCCTGAGTTACAGAACCTCCTCACTACATACAGAGACAGCACGACTGCAGATATGACCACTCCTACACTCGCTCTACTGACCGATCTGTCAACTACTCATAAACTACACTACCTCAGTACTTCTGCAGAGCTCTTCACAGACCTACAGTCTACCTGTCACAACCAGCACACAAGCAAATCCTGTATCTCTCTCAGCAGGACTTCACTGGACTCTTCCGCACTCAAACGTTTGCACCTGAAAGAGGAACTGTGTTCAGATGAGCTCATCTTTCTCTCTCTGTCACTCACCCACACTAAATATAGTGATGTGACAGCATCCTGTCAGCTCTTCCACTTTGTTCTCTTGTAGCACACAGTGCACACATAGTCATAAGTCGCTAAAGCCACGCCCCTCTTTCTCTACAGTCACTGGGGACTTTATTAGAAACCCCTGCCTTGTAGCTCCACCGGACGAAAGCCCATCTTTTGAAGCACAATTTGTGTTAGCCATCCGCTAACTCTTTATCAGTGGTTAATCTAACAGTGTACATGAAAATGGACATATTAAAAAGTTTAGATTTTCATTGAATGTGAAAGTAGGGCGGCACGGTGGCGCAGTGGGTAGTGCTGTCGCCTCACAGCAAGAATGGCCTGGGTTCGATTCCCGGCCGGGTGACCAGAGTCGTTTCTGTGTGGAGTTTGCCTGTTCTCCCCGTGTCTGCGTGGGTTTCCTCCGGGTACTCCGGTTTCCTCCCACAGTCCAAAAACATGCAGTCAGGCTGATTGGACATGCTGAATTGCCCCTAGGTGTGTGTGTGACTGTGTATGTCTGTCTGCCCTGCGATGGACTGGAGACCTGTCCAGGGTGTATCCTGTCTTCCACCCAATGAGAGCTGGGATAGGCTCCAGCACCCCACCACTAACCGTGAACCAGAAGGATAAGTGGTTTAGATGATGTATGTATGTATGAAAGTAAAAGATTATTATTAGTAAAATCAGTACTAGAAATGTAATCATTGAAAAACAATGTTTTTAGTTTTAAATATTGTAATGTTTATTTTCATTATTCATTAAAATATTATTAATTTAGCCATTTCATCCCACAGTCCAAAGGCCAAGTGGAGACACTAAATTGCCCCTTGGTGTGAATGTGTATGTCTGTGAATCAACCTGTTTCTATATAACCTGTTTCTATATATAAAAAGCCTATATATAAAAGCTATATATGTAAGCAATAGAAAACTTGAGGTTGTGAGTTTTCATGAATAACATCACGGCTGTGATTTGCTCGTGGACATGACCTGAAGGCTAGTGCTGTAGATCATCAAAACCATGATGTTATTCGTGACAATGCATAACTTTGAGTGTTTTATTGCTTTTACACAAATGTTTTAAGATAAATCAAAAAAGCCCTGACATTCATACGGTATATGTTTTAATGCCGACAATACTTTCTGCCAAAAAGAAGTTCCACAGCTATGTGACAACATGGCTCTATTACTGTCTGTTGCAGCTCCACAGCAGAATTAGATATGTAAGTAAATAGTAAAATAATCTTCCTTTACAGTAAAATAAAGCTCTGCTGATCATTCAAACACAGTTTTAACAATAAATGGTCTGGAGTTAATGCAGAATTGCTAATTCACCCTTTACCCTGAAGGTTGGCACTCAAACTGCTGGTCAACATAGCAGCAGCAACAATCTGGCCCAGCTAGCAGCTAATTTTAAGATGAACAACGATAATTTGGAGACGATTTGACTTAATTTCATTTATAATCACTCAGCTGTTTCCTGATATGTTTGATCTGCAAAGAGAAACTGTCAAACACTAAAAAGTCGTGAAGCTTCAGTCAGTTTCTCATTTGAATTTTTCCTTTCCTCCTTAAATGTTGCAGCAGTTACATTCTGCTACCTTTCAAGTGGAACAGGAAAATTCAGACAAGAAGCTGATGAATAAAAATCTGACTTCAGCCTCGTAAAAAGTCAAACATTGAGAGACATTTTACAAACAACTATTCAATTTGTGGAAAAGTGCCACATAGAATAGAGCCAAAGAACTGTACAAATATCACGTTTTTCTATTGTTGCCAAATTACCCTGAGTGTCATTTTGTAACAGCCAGTCTGTAAAGCACTATGGAGCCCATCTTCTTCTTATATCAGAAGCTAATGTTTTATTCAGGTGTTTTTGTCAGTAGCTGGTCTGTTGATCTGGTGTGAAAATCAGTAGCTGGTCTGCTGATCTGGTGTGAAAGTCAGTAGCTGGTCTGTTGATCTGATGTGAAAGCCAGTAGCTGGTCTGTTGATCTGGTATGAAAGTCAGTAGCTGGTCTGTTAATCGGGTGTGAAAGCCAGTAGCTGGTCTGCTGATGTGATGTGAAAGCCAGTAGCTGGTCTGTTGATCTGGTATGAAAGTCAGTAGCTGGTCTGTTAATCGGGTGTGAAAGCCAGTAGCTGGTCTGTTGATCTGATGTGAAAGCCAGTAGCTGGTCTGTTGATCTGATGTGAAAGTCAGTAGCTGGTCTGTTGATCTAATGTGAAAGTCAGTAGCTGGTCTGCTGATCTGATGTGAAAGTCAGTAGCTGGTCTGCTGATCTGATGTGAAAGCCAGTAGCTGGTCTGTTGATCTGGTGTGAAAGTCAGTAGCTGGTCTGCTGATCTGATGTGAAAGTCAGTAGCTGGTCTGTTGATCTAATGTGAAAGTCAGTAGCTGGTCTGCTGATCTGATGTGAAAGTCAGTAGCTGGTCTGCTGATCTGATGTGAAAGCCAGTAGCTGGTCTGTTGATCTGGTGTGAAAGCCAGTAGCTGGTTTATTGATCTGGTGTGAAAGACAGTAGATGGTCTGTCAATCTTGTATGAAAGTCAGTAGCTGGTCAGCAGATCAGATGTTTTGTCAGTAGCTGGTCTGTTGATCTCCGTTGGTTTTATTCTCTGCTGTAGACTCACTGCTCCATCTTCATCATGATTGCTGTAGAATATTCTAGCAGCATCCGACACTTAAGTGGTTAAGATAAACAAGAAACTTTTATTTCATGCACAAATCATGCACATTTATGAATACAAGAACAGTAGCAAGACTGCAGTGGCTTGAATGTGTTTGTACCTTTGTTTCTCTTGGTGTGATAAACCACAGCTACTATAATGTGGAGGAAGATCACAGTCACCAAGGCAAAGGGGACAAAGGGCAGAGGGTGTGGAGGTTCTGCAATACCAGCAGCATCATTCAGGGGTGAAGTTCCTAAAAATGTCACAGCAAAAACAACAATGTAAGACAGTAGAATAATTATCTGAACATTAAAAATTGATAACATTTACCTTTGATGGCCCACTGATGCTACGGAGATGCTCAGTCTTTCTTTAACTAACACTCAACTGAATATTTATTAAATGCAAAACCTTCACCTACGTCTAAACCTAAACCTAACCACGAACATCAAATAAGCATCACCAGAAAGTTTGTTAGCTATGTAAGTATCTGTAGATCAATTTCAAAGGACCATCAAAACAAGATTTTAGGTTATCTTAACAGTCTGATGCTTCTGAGGAGACTGGGACCTGATCCATATCTCCAAGGTGGTTAGTCAGTAAGTTAAATTTACACTGTTTACTTTTGCTTCGAGAGGAAATTTGTGAAGCTGATGTCTGGAGTGAATGGAGTTTACTGTTACCTTTCTGAGAAGAAGTTGTGGTGGAAGGTTCAGCTGAAGTTTTCAGATGAATGGTCCTGTCAAGTGTTGGAGTAGGTTTTGGTGGAGGAGCCTCTGGAAAGAGAAAAGATTAGGACAGTATCCATGATGAGTGCTGTATAGACTATTTGCCCCATCAATACTTGGCGGGTAGTTGGGTTGCAGTGATGTAAAACTAAAAAGTTTAAGTTTTAGTACTAGTTTGTTACAGTTCTAGTACTGCTTTAGTACATTAGAATGTAGTGGCTTTAATTAACTTCATTGTAGTCTAAAACACTCACTGTCACGACTCCCTTTGGCTCTGGTTTGTTGATCTGGTGTGAAAGACAGTAGATGGTTGATCTGGTGTGAAAGACAGTAGATGGTCCAGTTCCCCAGAGTACTGTTCAGTAACACGTGTTCTTCTTTGATTAGTTTAGTTAAAAGCCTAGATTGACTCTTTGCGAGGTATCGCTTCTTTCCACAGAGCTACTGAGCGTTATTTCTGATTGCTTATTCCTGTTCTGACCTGTTTTGCCTTGTTTTTGCCTGATCCCTTTTGGACTATTCGCCTGGTTATGTTTGTGTTTTTGTGTATTGTCTTTTCTGGATTTGACCATTGCCTGTGACTTGACTACGATTGTGGATTCTGTTTGCACTAGTAAAGCCTCTCAGTCACTTTTTATCTGCGAGCGTCTGTGTCATTCTGTCGTGTTAAAGAATACTTCGCCAGCCATGCAGATGGCGGATCCAGAGGCTTTACAGAAAGCTTTGAATGAGCAAGGACATCTGCTCAGCCGACATCAACACGTGCTAGCAGGGGTAACTCATTCCCTGGAGTCCTTAGCTCACCAACAGTCCGAACAACAAACCCAGCTAGCGCTCCTCGTTAACAGCGTGAAGGATCTCACCACCCAACTTCAGAGCCTCAACCCAGCAGAACCGGTGGTGAGTCCTGTGAGTCCTTCAAGTTCAACTGTGAACTCAAGTGCTGTTTTTCCAGTCAGTAAACTGGATAAATTTGATGGCAACCCTGACAAGTGTCGCGGTTTTTTGCTTCAATGTTCCATCTTTTTTAACAATTCACCCGCTAGCTCTGACCAGGCCAAGATCTCATTTTTGGTATCTCTTTTATCAGATAAAGCTTTAGAATGGGCCACCGCAAGTTGGTCACATATTCACAACCTGTCTTTCAGCTAATTCCTAAATAAACTTAAAATTGTATTTGATCACCCCCATGAAGGACAAGTCAGTGGTGAAATGTTAACCAAGCTTGGAAAAAACATTGTGAAAACCCAAATTACCCCTAAACACCTGACTCATGAAGAAAGTGAAGGACTCCTCCTGTCTATCCAAGAAGGAGAGGCTCCGGCGGATGAGAGAAGGTCTCTGTTTGTACTGTGGTGGTGCCGGTCATTTAATACAGGACTGCAGGACCAGGCCACCCAAAAATTCTGCGCCGACCCCTGGAAAGCAAGTGGAGAACACTCCACATGCTAATGTGGTGAGTGTTCCCACAAAGGGGTTGGTTTCCAAGTCATTTTTATTGCCTGTCATTGTCTACTGTCATCAAGTGTCTGTTGTTGTTTCAGCCCTCATTGTTTGATAGGTCTTGCACAATGGAGTAGTCATAAGTTTAGCTGTGGCTGCTGCAAGAGATAGATCTGATGAGCTGAACATAATAATTCATTCTAAAATGCATTACAGACCACTTTCATTGTTTTTGTTCATTCATGTACATTCATGGGAGTGGGCTTTATACATACAAAAACACTTTCTATGAATACAATGTCTATAAGAGTCTATGAACACATAACATGTTGGTATGCATTAATAAGACATTATAAGCATGACTGTAAACACAGAAACTAGGTTAAACGTGGCCATGTTTATTATGCGTTATAGAATATTTAATATAATGATTTAAAAGTCGTGTTCATAACATGTTACACATGAATGGACATATACTATTATGGCCCTTTTTATTATAAATGGACATATATTATTATAACCCTATTATGAGAACTGGTTGTATGTTTGTGGTATTGTTGCAGAGGTTATTGCACTTGATTGCCTTTGCTCAATGGTAATATTGTACTCAGAGGGGGTCTTGTGGGGAGAGGCTTTGGCAGATGGTTGGGTTGCTGTGATGTGAAATGTAATAGTTTTAGTTTTAGTACTATTTTGATTGATACACTGGTTGACTCTGACTGTGCTCTGATAGATCACATCTCATCACCCTCTCTGCAGCTACAACACTACAGGTGGATGAAGACCAAGCAAAACCAAGAAAAAGATAAAAAAGATATGTGGACACTTTAGACCAAGTCTTCAGAAAATGCTACAGGGAGAAGATTAGCTAGATTGGTGGATCTCCCAAGTGATTTTTTGAAAATTAATTAAAATGGTACCAAAACTGGCAAAACTTTAAAATAACAAAATAACACATAAACTAAGCTAAAGTTAGCTCCCTTGCTTGCCAGCTTCTTATTCAGTTTTTCTGCTCCACCTTAAATGTTGCTGCAATTACAGCTACTTTAGACATAGAATAAATTTAGAAAAAGAAGCTGAAAAAACTTCAATTAATTTAATAAATATTAATGAAAAGTCATTAATTTTCATCAATAAATGCATCGTAAAACAAGAAATACCATAAACCTTTGCTTGGAAATCTTTAATGTGCTGCACAACAGCTATAATCAGTCAGTAGAGCTGCTAGAGTGCTAAACTTATCTCATTGGCTGATCTAGTGCTTCATCCCAAACCTCATACTTCTGTGCTTTATCTAATACAATAATAATAATGAGTGCACTTCTACAACAAATCAAATGAAATCAAAACAATCCGCTGGAGTTCATTGGTTAATATCTTTAAAAAGAAAAGTTTTACCAAAGGGGAAAAAAAAAACAACAACAGGCAGACAGAATCTGTATACAAATAGCTAGAAAACAGGCTAAATAGATTTAAACCAGAAACGATATTCAGCACAAGGAACACCCGAATAACATAACCAGTAATAGGCCTCAGAATTGTGAGATAATAGTAACATATAAACAAATATTGTACAAACACAGGATTTAAGTACTAGCAAAAAACAGGTGAATACAACAATGTTTTGGCAAAGCTAGGTACCTGAGGAACCAGATCAAAAAAGACCTCAGTGAACAGTGATGAGGGGTTGGAGTTATGTTGGAAAGATCCTAAACAGAATCTCCAGGTGGGGATCATGTGACAATATAATTGTCCCTAATGTATAAATCATAGGAAAATACAAATATGCATATACTCTAAAAATAAATAAACAAAGCTACTGCACACACCCTCACTATAGAACCCTCATTAAAGTTCTTCTTGGAGCATTTGTAATCTAAGGCTAACAAAATTCTATACAGTTTACTCAACACATTTTGCACTCAGAATACAAATCAGTATTTTACCTTTAACAGTGAGTCTGATGTATGTGAGTCCACTTTTCATAGCATCACACGTGTACTCTCCTCCATCCTCTTCAGTCAGGTGTGATATGAGTAGAGAGAGATTTCCTGGATAGTCATCATTAACCAGCTGAACTCTGTTTCTGGACTGACCACTTTCAATGGGCATGCTGTCCCACTTCTTACTGTTTTGATTGTATTTCTTCCAGGTTAATGTTTTAGGTTTGGCACGTAGCTCAGCACAGGAGCAGGGCAGCAGTACTGACCCTCCTGTAGGTGCTGTGATATCTAATCGTTCTTTATTGTTGGTCAGAGTGCAGCCTGCAGACACACACATTCAGAATTGAGGATTATTGTATGAATGTGTAGATGCATCCAGAAGCAGTAAGTGTTACCTTATAAGTAAGAATAAGTAAGAAATGACTGAACAAATTATTTATAAGACACCAAATTATTTTTTTATTTTTTGTCTCCAGCTAAATTTCTCCACACACCTGACTACAGCTACAGGAACCAATTCACTAAAACATTTACTGCATGGATTAAGGTGCACTAAATAAAGATGGGCAATATCTTTGCAAAATACAACAATAAATTACTCTTGATCTCAAGCATGGAGTTTCATTTAATGTAACTAAGCAACATAACACATTTTCAAACAATTCACCATCATTACAAAAGAATCTAGAAGCATTAGGCTTCAGTCTAGCGCTCCTGCAAAGCCAGAGAACTAATGCAGGTGTAATTATAATTAAAAACATTTTTAAAGTTGATTATATCAGGTATTTAGGTATGAGATGATATCTGTACTGTGTGTGTGGATCACAACAGAGTCTTACCCTTAATAGAGAGTCGGATATCTTTGTTCCTGCTACCTTCAACTTTACATCTGTAGTCTACTCCGTCCTCTTCAGTCAGGCGTGATATGAGTAGAGAGAGATTTCCTGGAGAGTGACTATTAACCAGCTGAACTCTGTTTCTGTACTGACCACTCTCACTGGACATCTCTTTCAATATGTCTATGTTTGTTGTAAGGTTCTTCCAGGTGAATGTCTTAGGTGTGTCCTGTAGGTCAGTGCAGTAGCAGGGCAGCAGTACTGACCCTCCTGAGTATGCAGTAATCTTTTCTAACTGATCATGGTCTTTCAGTGTGCAGCCTGTAGAAACACACCAGTTAATGACCTTCACTATCACCACTTGTGTAACACTTGCTTTACCAGAAAGAGGACTTTACTTTAAAGGCATTGCTATAAAAAGACATGCTTGACCAGCCTAAGAACAGTTTCCTAAATCATTACTTATGTTATTATACTGTTGAGAAACTCACATTCATCTTAAAACAGTTAGAATTACTGGAAATAAGCGGATTTGAAGTGGCTTTGAAAGCAACCAATCAACTCAAATGATTTTATTTGTTGCCCAGTGCATACCCTTATACTCCAGTGTCATCATTAGGATTACAGCATAATTTTAAAATAAGATTTAAAAAGTACTATGTTATACTAGTATCTACAGTAAGAGATTTAATGATACACTTACCTTCAGCAACATGGAGCACAAGCAGCAGATACAAACAAACCTGCATTCTTCCTGAGTTACAGAACCTCCTCACTACATACAGAGACAGCACGACTGCAGATATGACCACTCCTACACCCGCTCTACTGACGGATCTGTCAACTACTCATAAACTACACTACCTCAGTACTTCTGCAGAGCTCTTCACAGACCTACAGTCTACCTGTCACAACCAGCACACAAGCAAATCCTGTATCTCTCTCAGCAGGACTTCACTGCACTCAAAAGTTTGCACCTGAAAGAGGAACTGTGTTCAGATGAGCTCATCTTTCTCTCTCTGTCACTCACCCAGACTAAATATAGTGATGTGACAGCATCCTGTCAGCTCTTCCTCTTTGTTCTCTTGCAGCACACAGTGCACACATAGTCATAAGTCGCTAAAGCCACGCCCCTCTTTCTCTTTCTCTACAGTCACTGGGCACTTTATTAGAAACCCCTGCCTTGTAGCTCCACCGGACGAAAGCCCATCTTTTGAAGCACAATTTGTGTTAGCCATCCGCTAACTCTTTATCAGTGGTTAATCTAACAGTGTACATGAAAATGGACATATTAAAAAAGTTTAGATTTTCATTGAATGTGAAAGTAGGGTGGCACGGTGGCGCAGTGGGTAGTGCTGTCGCTTCACAGCAAGAATGGCCTGGGTTCGATTCCCGGCCGGGCGACCAGAGTCGTTCCTGTGTGGAGTTTGCCTGTTCTCCCCGTGTCTGCGTGGGTTTCCTCCGGGTACTCCGGTTTCCTCCCACAGTCCAAAAACATGCAGTCAGGCTGATTGGACATGCTGAATTGCCCCTAGGTGTGAGTGTGTGTGTGACTGTGTGTGTCTGTCTGCCCTGCGATGGACTGGCGACCTGTCCAGGGTGTATCCTCTCTTCCACCCAATGAGAGCTGGGATAGGCTCCACCACCCCACCACTAACCGTGAACCAGAAGGATAAGTGGTTTAGATGATGTATGTATGTATATATGTGTGAAAGTAAAAGATTATTATTAGTAAAATCAGTACTAGAAATGTAATCATTGAAAAACAATGTTTTTAGTTTTAAATATTGTAATGTTTATTTTCATTATTCATTAAAATATTATTAATTTAGCCATTTCATCCCACAGTCCAAAGGCCAAGTGGAGACATTAAATTGCCCCTTGGTGTGAATGTGTATGTCTGTGAATCGACCTGTTTCTATATAACCTGTTTCTATACATTAAAAGCCTATATATAAAAGCTATATATGTAAGCAATAGAAAACTTGAGGTCGTGAGTTTTCATGAATAACATCACGGCTGTGATTTGCTCTCATGACCTGAAGGCAAGTGCTGTAGATCATTAAAACCATGATGTTATTCGTGACAATGCATAACTTTGAGTGTTTTATTGCTTTTACACAAATGTTTTAAGATAAATCAAAAAAGCCCTGACATTCATACGGTATATGTTTTAATGCCGACAATACTTTCTGCCAAAAAGAAGTTCCACAGCTATGTGACAACATGGCTCTATTACTGTCTGTTGCAGCTCCACAGCAGAATTAGATATGTAACTAAATAGTAAAATAATCTTCCTTTACAGTTAAATGAAGCTCTGCTGATCATTCAAACACAGTTTTAACAATAAATTGTCTAGAGTTAATGCAGAATTGCTAATTCACCCTTTACCCTGAAGGTTGGCACTCAAACTGCTGGTCAACATAGCAGCAGCAACAATCTGGCCCAGCTAGCAGCTAATTTTAAGATGAACATCGATAATTTGGAGACGATTTGACTATTTTCATTTATAATCACTCAGCTGTTTCCTGATATGTTTGATCTGCAAAGAGAAACTGTCAAACACTAAAAAGTCGTGAAGCTTCAGTCAGTTTCTCATTTGAATTTTTCCTTTCCTCCTTAAATGTTGCAGCAGTTACATTCTGCTACCTTTCAGGTGGAACAGGAAAATTCAGACAAGAAGCTGATGAATAAAAATCTGACTTCAGCCTCGTAAAAAGTCAAACATTGAGAGACATTTTACAAACAACTATTCAATTTGTGGAAAAGTGCCACATAGAATAGAGCCAAAGAACTGTACAAATATCACGTTTTTCTATTGTTGCCAAATTACCCTGAGTGTCATTTTGTAACAGCCAGTCTGTAAAGCACTATGGAGCCCATCTTCTTCTTATATCAGAAGCTAATGTTTTATTCAGGTGTTTTTGTCAGTAGCTGGTCTGTTGATCTGGTGTGAAAATCAGTAGCTGGTCTGTTGATCTGATGTGAAAGCCAGTAGCTCGTCTGTTGATCTGGTATGAAAGTCAGTAGCTGGTCTGTTAATCGTGGTGTGAAAGCCAGTAGCTGGTCTGCTGATGTGATGTGAAAGCCAGTAGCTGGTCTGTTGATCTGGTATGAAAGTCAGTAGCTGGTCTGTTAATCGGGTGTGAAAGCCAGTAGCTGGTCTGTTGATCTGATGTGAAAGCCAGTAGCTGGTCTGTTGATCTGATGTGAAAGTCAGTAGCTGGTCTGCTGATCTGATGTGAAAGTCAGTAGCTGGTCTGCTGATCTGATGTGAAAGTCAGTAGCTGGTCTGCTGATCTGATGTGAAAGCCAGTAGCTGGTCTGTTGATCTGGTGTGAAAGTCAGTAGCTGGTCTGTTGATCTGATGTGAAAGTCAGTAGCTGGTCTGTTGATCTGATGTGAAAGTCAGTAGCTGGTCTGTTGATCTGTTGTGAAAGTCAGTAGCTGGTCTGTTGATCTGATGTGAAAGCCAGTAGCTGGTCTGTTGATCTGATGTGAACCAGTAGCTGGTCTACTGATCTGATGTGAAAACCAGTAGCTGGTCTGTTGATCTTGTATGAAAATCAGTAGCTGGTCAGCAGGTAAGATGTGTTGTCAGTAGCTGGTCTGCTCCTCTCTATTGGTTTTATTCTCTGCTGTAGACTCACTGCTCCATCTTCATCATAATTGCTGTAGAAAATTTTAGCAGCATCCAGCACTTAAGTGGTGGATAAACAAGAAACTTTCATTTCTGCACAAATCATGCACATTTATGAATACAAGAAAAGTAGCAAGACTGCAGTGGCTTGAATGTGTAGTCTGTACCTTTGTTTCTCTTGGTGAGATAAACCACAGCTACTATAATGTGGAGGAAGATCACAGTCACCAAGGCAAAGGGGACGAAGGGCAGAGACTGTGGAGGTTCTGCAATACCAGCAGCATCATTCAGGGGTGACTTTCCTAAAATTGTCAGAGCAAAAACAACAATGTAAGACAGTAGAACAATTATCTGAACAATAAAAATAGATAACACTTGTCTTTGATAGTCGACTGTAGGGAGGGGTTCAGTCTTTCTTTAACTAACACTCAACTGAATATTTATTAATGCAAAACCTTCACCTACTTCTAAACCTAAACCTAACCATAACAATCAAATAAGCATCACCAGAAAGTTTGTTAGCTATGTAAGTATCTGTAGATCAATTTCAAAGGACCATCAAAAGAAGGTTTTAGGTTATTTTAACAGTCTGATGCTTCTGAGGAGACTGGGACCTGATCCATATCTCCAAGGTGGTTAGTCAGTAAGTTAAATTTACACTGTTCACTTTTGCTTTGAAAGAAAATGTGTGAAGCTGATGTCTGGAGTGAATGGAGTTTACTGTTACCTTTCTGAGAAGAAGTTGTGGTGGAAGGTTCAGCTGAAGTTTTCAGATGAATGGTCCTGTCAAGTGTTGGAGTAGGTTTTGGTGGAGGAGCCACTGGAAAGAGAACAGATTACAGTTCTAGTGCTGCTTTGGTACATTAGAATGTAGAGGCTTTAATTAACTTTATTGTAGTCTAAAAAACTCTCTTTACCTAGAGCTCTTAATAAGAAGTATATAAAGTCCACACCTCATGCAAAGACATGTTTTAATACGTTACTGTGTAATGACTAATTATTCAGTTCAAGATTAGAATAATTTAGAAGTTGTTTAATCATAATATGGCTCATTATCTCTTTATGACTAGGCAGGTTTGTTAGTTACAATGCACTGTGCAAGTAATTATACTATCAGCAGTTGGTGGGATCATGGTTGAGTTTGAGGCTACACAGTATAAAAGGAATGAGTCCCATTTTTATACTGATTCCCACAGAAGAACTTGGCTTATCCATCCTAACAATATGTGGCCTTGATTCCGAAAGGGACATTAAGACCTGAACAGATAGCTGAGCGGCTGGAATGTGAAAGTATTTATCAGATACAAATCATTTCCTGCTAATGTATCAAACACACATACACTGCAGAATGCTCGTCATGAACTGCATCGTCAGAGGTGCATCGTCATGAATTGTCATGCACAGTATGCAAAACACAACATATGCTTTTAAATAAGGGGCTTGGTGAGACAGGATGAAAGCATTTTCATTTGGGCATTTCTAGAAAACACAATCATTAACCCTTTCTTGTAGCAGAAACAGCCTAAGTAGATTTAACCTCGAAGCTACATTAAACACAAAGAAAATACGAATAGCACAAACAGGGCTCAGATTTGACATGTAAACATGCCTTCACCAGCAGCTCACAAACAAAGAGCCCTTTGACCAAACTCAGGACAACATGACTAACAAGAAGCACACAAACACAATGACCAGGTAGATCTAGGTACCCAACGTAACAGGGCTGAAAATACCCAGCTGAACAGTGATGAGGGGGTGGAGTTATGCTGGAAAGATCCCAAACAGAATTTGAAGGTGGAGATTGGGTGACAATGCAATTGGATTATATGTAGACATTATATGACATTGTAAATATATATAAACTCCAACAATAATGTAAACAAAACTGCACACACACACACACACACACACACACACACACACACACACACACACACACCCTCACTACAGAACCCTAATTAAAGCTCTTCTTGGAGCATTTGTAATGTAAGACTAACATAATCTTATACAGTTGATTCAGCACACTTTGCACTTAGAATACAGACTAGTGTTTTACCTTCAACAGTGAATTTGATGTATGTGAGTCCACTTTTCATAGCATCACACATGTACTCTCCTCCATCCTCTTCAGTCAGGTGTGATATGAGTAGAGAGAGATTTCCTGGAGAGTGACCATTAACCAGCTGAACTCTGTTTCTGGACTGACCACTTTCAATGGGCATGCTGTCCCACTTCTTACTGTTTTGATTGTATTTCTTCCAGGTTAATGTTTTAGGTTTGGCACGTAGCTCAGCACAGGAGCAGGGCAGCAGTACTGACCCTCCTGTAGGTGCTGTGATATCTAATCGTTCTGTATTGTTGGTCAGAGTGCAGCCTGCAGACACACACATTCAGAATTGAGGATTATTGTATGAATGTGAAAGATGCATCCAGAAGCAGTAAATGTTGCCTTATAAGTAAGAATAAGTAGGAAATGACTGAGCAAATTATTTATAAGGTACCAAATTGTTTTATTTTTTGTCTCCAGCTAAATTTCTCCACACACCTGACTACAGCTACAGGAACCAATTCACTAAAACTTTACTGCATGGATTAAGGTGCACTAAATAAAGATGGGCAATATCTTTGCAAAATACAACAATAAATTACTCTTGATCTCAAGCATGGAGTTTCATTTAATGTAACTAAGCAACATAACACATTTTGAAACAATTCACCATCATTACAAAAGAATCTAGAAGCATTAGGCTTCAGTCTAGTGCTCCTGCAAAGCCTGAGAACTAATGTAGGTGTAATTATAATTAAAACATATTTAAAGTTGATTATATCAGGTATTTAGGTATGAGATGATATCTGTACTGTGTGTGGATCACAACAGAGTCTTACCCTTAATAGAGAGTCGGATATCTTTGTTCCTGCTACCTTCAACTTTACATCCGTAATCTCCTCCGTCCTCTTCAGTCAGGCGTGATATGAGTAGAGAGAGATTTCCTGGAGAGTGACCATTAACCAGCTGAACTCTGTTTCTGTACTGACCACTCTCACTGGATATCTCTTTCAATATGTCTATGTTTGTTGTAAGGTTCTTCCAGGTGAATGTCTCAGGTGTGTCTTGTGGGTCAGTGCAGTAGCAGGGCAGCATTACTGACCCTCCTGAGTATGCAGTAATCGTTTCTAACTGATCATGGCCTTTCAGTGTGCAGCCTGTAGAAACACACCAGTTAATGACCTTCACTATCACCACTTGTGTAACACTTGCTTTACCAGAAAGAGGACTTTACTTTAAAGGCATTGCTATAAAAAGACATACTGAAATAAGTTTTAAAAAGTACTGTGTTATACTAGTATCTACAGTAAGAGATTTAATGGTTCACTCACCTTCAGCAACATGGAGCACAAGCAGCAGATAAAAACAAACCTGCATTCTTCCTGAGTTACAGAACCTCCTCACTACATACAGAGACAGCACGACTGCAGACATGACCACTCCTACACTCGCTCTACTGACCGATCTGTCAGCTACTCATAAACTACACTACCTCAGCACTTCTGCAGAGCTCTTTACAGACCTACAGTCTACCTGACACAACCAGCACATGAGCAAATCCTGTATCTCTCTCAGCAGGACTTCACTGGACTCTTCCGCACTCAAAAGTTTGCACCTGAAAGAGGAACTGTGTTCAGATGAGCTCATCTTTCTCTCCCTGTCACTCACCCACACCAAATATAGTGATGTGGCACAAATATAGTAAACACTCCAGCAGCACTGCTGTGTCTGATTTTTAAAGTAAAACTGTATTTTTAAAGTATAACTTTTACATAGTTACTGTGGAATATTAGTTTTGTAACATGGTAAACTGATCAAATCATATTGATCAATATCACTGTGTATTTCCAGAATATCTAAATACAGAGAAATCATGTAAAGATAAATGAAGATGTTGTTGTTGTCATTCAGCTGCAGTGTAAGTACTGTTATAATGCAGGTAACTCCACAGCAGGTCCAATCGGAAAAGCCTTTCTGGAAGAAAAGCAGTTCAACACAATACAACGATACAGTGTTACTAGAATAACTACTGTTACTGTATCCTTTATCATACATTTGTGTAATTAAATGAGTAAAACTGAGGCTGATACATGTGTATTTACATAAACTGTACTAATGTAATTCATTTGAAGCTGGGAATATATGGAGTTAACTTTGTGGCAGTCATCATAATGAGTGTGGAATAGTGCATTTATCAATGTTTATCTCACATGACAAATGTTTATCAATGTTTGTCGTAATTTTAATGTAACACATGCTCAGTGTTCTGTGTTGAGATATATATATATATATATATATATATATATATACAGTGAAAGAAATAAGTATTTGATCCCCCACTGACTTTAAAAGTTTGTACTCTGACAAATAATTAAACAGTCTATGATTTTTATGGTAGCTTCATTTTAACAGTGAGAGACGGAATATCAAAAAGAAAATCTAGAAAATTAACTAATATTTAAATAAAAAATAATTTGCGTTTCATTGAGGGAAATAAGTGTTTGATCCCCTAAAAACCATGACTAATGTTGGCTCCCACAGACCACTGACACACCTTAATCTCAGTGAAGTCGTTACCTGCATGACAGACACCTGTCCCAAATTGTCACCTGTATAAAAGGCCACCTGCCAACAGACTCAGTGACACTCCAACATCTCCACCATGGGCAAGACTAAAGAGCTGTCTAAAGATGTCAGGGACAAAACTGTTGACCTATACAAGGCTGGAATGGGCTACAAAGCCATAAGTAAGAAGCTGGATGAGAAGGTGACAACTGTTGGTGCAATTATTCGGAAGTGGAAGAAGTACAACATTACTGTCAATCGACCTAGGCCTGGAGCTCCATGCAAGATATCACCTCGTGGAGTCTCACTGATCATGAGAAAGGCTAAAAATCAGCCAAGAACTACACGGGAGGAGCTGGTTAATGATCTCAAGGCAGCTGGGACCACAGTCTCCAAAAAATCCATTGGTAATACACTGAGACGTAATGGTTTAAAATCCTGCAGTGCACGCCAGGTTCCTCTGCTCAAGAAGGCTCATGTCCAGGCCCACCTCAAGTTTGCCAATGAACATATTAATGACTCCGAGAGAGACTGGGAGAAGGTGCTGTGGTCAGATGAGACCAAAATTGAGCTCTTTGGCCTCAACTCAACTCGACGTGTTTGGAGGAAGAAAAATAAAGAATATGACCCTAAGAACACCATCCCCACCGTCAAGCATGGTGGTGGAAGTATTATGTTTTGGGGTGTTTTTCTTCTAAGGGCACAGGCCAACTTCACCGCATCGACGGGAAGATGAACGGGGCCATGTATCGCAAAATCCTGGGTGACAACCTCCTTGACTGAAAATGGGTCGTGGATGGGTCTTCCAGCACAACAATGAACCAAAACATACAGCCAAGGAAACAAAGGAGTGGCTCCATAAGAAGCATATCAAGGTCATGGAATGGCCTAGCCAGTCTCCTGACCTCAATCCCATAGAAAATCTATGGAGAGAGCTGAAGCTTCGCGTTTCCAAATGCATGCCTAAAAACCTTAAGGATTTGGAGATGATCTGCAGAGAGGAGTGGGCCAAAATTACTCCTGAAGTGCAAACCTTATAAAAAACTACAAGAAACGTCTGACTGCTGTGCTTGCCAAAAAGGGTTTTGCCACCAATTATTAAATGATGTTTTACTAGGGGCTCAAATACTTATTTTCTTCAATGAAATTCAAATTAATTTTTATTTCTCATTTCATAACATTTTTGTGTTTTGTGTAATGACATCATGTGTTATTAATGTGCAACTGAAAGTTACTGGAGACAATATAAAGTGAGAACAACCCAAAAAAGTAAAAACTACCTAAAACGTGCAGTTTAAAAATATTGAATTAAAATATGAATTAATAAAAGTGACTATTTTGGGGTTTATTATCTATAGGGCATTTTGCCATATGTTCATATCCTGTTCTGAGGGTCAGCCAAATGATATAACTAAAAACTCCATTACTCTGTCCCTCGTAATCAGGTGTGTTGGTTAGTACACCTGCTAACCTAATCTGTTGTTTGGCTATGTTGAACAGTGGCTGGTCTTCTTGTCATGTTTGTAGTTCAGAAACTATGTTATATTCAGGTGTTTGTGTCAATTACTGGTCTGTTGATCTGATGTTAAAGTCAGTAGCTGGTCTGATCTGGTGTGAATGTCAGTAGCTGGTCTGTTGATCTGGTGTGAAAGTCAATATCTGGTCTGTTGATCTGGTGTGAATGTCAGTGGTTGGTCGGTTGATCTGATGTAAAAGCCATTAGCAGGTCTGTTGATCTGGTGTGAAAATCAGTAGCTGGTCTGTTGATCTGGTGTGAAAATCAGTAGCTGGTCTGTTGATCTGGTGTGAAAGTCAATATCTGGTCTGTTCATCTGGTGTGAAAATCAGTAGTTGGTCTGTTGATCTGGTGTGAAAATCAGTAGTTGGTCTGTTGATCTGATGTGAAAGCCAGTAGATGGTCTGTTGATCTGATGTGAAAATCAGTAACTGGTCTGTTGATCTAATTTGAAAGTCAGTAGCTGGTCTGTTGATCTGGTGTGAAAGTCAGTAGCTGGTCTATTGATCTTGTATGAAAGTCAGTGGCTGGTCAGCAGATCAGATGTGTTGTCAGTAGCTGGTCTCTTGATGTCTGTTGGTTTTACTCTCTGCTGTAGACTCACTGCTCCATCTTCATCATCTTTGCTGTAGTAAATTCTAGCAGCATCTGGCGCTTAAATTGTTAAGATGACAAAGAAATGTTAATTTATGCACAAATCATGCACATTTATGAATACAAGAACAGTAGCAAGACTACTTAGGTACCCCAAGGTAACAGGGCTAAAAGATCCAGGAGAACAGTGATGAGGGGGTGGAGTTATGTTGGAAAGATCCAAAACAGAATCCCAAAGTGGGGATTGGATGACAACAGTAATTGTAATTGTCCCTAAAGTAGAAATTATAGGAAGTTACAGACATCCATATACTCTAAAAATAAGTAAACAAAGCTACTGCACACACCCTCACTATAGAACCCTCATTAAAGCTCTGATTGGAGCATTTATAATGTAAGACTAATACAATCTCAGTTGACTCAACACATTTTTCACTCAGAATATAAATCAGTGTTTTACCTTCAACAGTGAGGCTGATGTATGTGAGTCCTCTTTTCATAGCATCACACATGTACACTCCTCCATCCTCTACAGTCAGGTGTGATATGAGTAGAGAGAGATTTCCTGGAGAGTGACCATTAACCAGCTGAAGTCTGTTTCTGAACTAACCACTTTCAATGGGTATCCTTTCCCAATTTTGATTGATGTATTTTTTCCAGGTGAATGTCTCAGGTTTGGCACGTAGCTCAGTGCAGGAGCAGGGCAGCAGTACTGACCCTCCTGTATAAGCTGTGATATATAATGTGTGTGCATGGTTGGTCAGAGTGCAGCCTGCAGAAACACACATTCAGGACTGAGAATTATTGTCTGCATGTGAAAACTCATCCAGAATCACTAAATGTTACCTTACAATTAAGAATGATGAGTAAGAAACTGACCAAATGGTTTATCAGACTGATACCAGATTGTTGAATTTTCTGTATTTAGCTTAATTTCTCCACACACCAGACTATGACTACTACAATCAGCCATTCACTATTAAACATTTACTGCATAAATGAAGGTGCACTACAAGAAGCTTAGCAATAGCTTTGCAATATAAATTGATACACTGACTCTTACTTTCAAGCATGGAGTTGCATTTTATGTAACTAAACAACGTAACAACTATTTAAACAATTCAACTTCATAGTAAGATAATCTAGAAGCTTTAGTCTTCATTCTAGTGCTGCTGCAAAGCCAGAGAACTAATGTGTTTGTAATTTTTAATTAACAACACTTTCAAATTGATTATACCAGGTGTGTAGTTATGAGATGATCTCTGCACAATGAGTGTGGATCAAAACAGAGTTTACCTTTAACAGTGAGGCTGATATCTTTGCTTCTGACACCTTCAACGGTACATCTGTAATATCCTCAATCCTCTTCAGTCAGGTGTGATATGAGTAGAGAGAGATTTCCTGGAGAGTGACCATTAACCAGCTGAACTCTGTCTCTGTACTGACCACTCTCACTGGACATCGCTTCCCATTCACGTGTGTTTGAGGTGAGTTTCTTCCAGATGAGTCTCTCAGGTGTGGTACGTGGGTCAGTGCAGTAGCAGGGCAGCAGTATTGACCCTCCTGTGTATGCAGTAATCTTTTCTACCTCCTCATGGTCATTCAGTGTGCAGCCTGCAAAACACACCAGTTAATGACCTTCACTATCACCACTTGTGCAACACTCGATCAACCATGAACAGGATTTTACTTTCAAGGCATTGATATAAAAAGAGATGCTTGACCAGCTAAGCACAGTTCCTTAAAGCATTCTGGTACTTATGTTATTATACTGTTGAGAAACCTCAGCTCGAAACAGCTGAAACAGTTAGAATTACTTTAAATAAGTGGTTGGAAGTGGCTTTAAAGGCAACCAATCAACTCAAATGATTTTAATTGCTGTGCAATGCAAATCCTTGCATTCCAGTGTCAACATTAAGTTTTACACAGTACTGTGTTATACTAGTATCTACAGTAGGAGATATAACAGTGCACTCACCTTCAGCAACATGGAGCACAAGCAGCAGATAAAAACAAACCTGCATTCTTCCTGAGTTACAGAACTTCCTCACTACATACAGAGACAGCACGACTGCAGATATGACCACTCCTACACCCGCTCTACTGACCGATCAGTCAACAACTCAAACTACACTACCTCAGCACTTCTGCAGAGCTCTTTACAGACCTACAGTCTACCTGACACAACCAGCACACGAGGAAATCCTGTATCTCTCTCAGCAGGACTTCACTGGACTCTTCCGCACTCAAACGTTTGGACCTGAAAGAGGAACTGTGTTCAGATGAGCTCATCTTTCTCTCTCTGTCACTCACCCACACCAAATATAGTAATGTGACAGCATCCTGTCAGCTCTTCCTCTTCGTTCTCTTGCAGCACACAGTGCACACGTAGTCATAAGTTGCTAAAGCCACGCCCCTCTTTATCTTTCTCTCTATACAGTCACTGGGGACTTTATAGAAACCCCTGCCTTGTATCTCCACCAGATGATAGTCCACCTTTTGATGCCCAATTTGTGTTAGCCATCCTAAAACTCTTTATCAGTGGTTAAACTATTAATATTAAAAGTGTAAATTTTCAGTGAATGTGAAAGTAAAAGATTATTATTATTGAAATCAATACTCAAAAAGTAATCAGTGAAAAACAATGTTTTTAGTTTTTAATATTGTAATGTTTATTTTTAATATTCATTAAATATTAATATTAATTTAGCCATTTCATCCCACAGTCCAAAGGTCAAGTGGGCACACTAAATAGCCCCTTGGTGTGAACGTCTATGTCTGTGTATCGACCTGTTCCTTCTTAGAAAGTTTCTTAGAAAGGTTCAAATGTTAGGTAACAACACAAAGCCTATATATAAAAGCTTTGTGTGAGCAATAGAAACCTCGAGGTTGAGTATTATCATGAACAACATCACGGCTGTGATTTGGTCGCGGACATGAGCCGAAGGCGAGTGCTGTAGATCATCAAAGCCGTGATGTTATTCATGACAACACACAAGCTTGAGTGTTCTATTGCTTTTGTACAAATGTTTTTACAAAATAAAGAAAGAAGATGAATCAAAGAAGCCCTAAAATTCATACTGAATATGCTTTAATGCTGACAATACTTTCTGCCAAAAAGTACTTCCACAACTATGTGGCAACATGGCTCTATTACTGCCTGTTGCAGCTCCACAGCAGAATTAGATTTGCAGGTAAAAATAAAATAATCTTCCTTTACAGGAAAATAAAGCTCTGCTGATCGTTCAACAAAGTTTTAACAATAAATGGTCTAAAACACTGGAATTAATGTAGAACTGCTAATTCACCCTTTAACCCTGAAGGTTGGCACTCAGACTGCTGGTCACCATAGCAAAAACAACAATCTTGGCCTGCTAGTAGCTAATTTTAAGATGAACATTGATAATTTGGAGAGGAATTGACTTATTTTCATTTATAATCACTCAGCTGGTTTCCTGATATGTTTGATCTGCAAAGAGAAACTGTCAAACACTAAAAAGTCGTGAAGCTTCAGTCAGTTTATTGTTTGAATTTTTCCTTTCCACCTTAAATGGTGCAGCAGTTACATTCTGCTACCTTTCAGGTGGAACAGGAAAATTCAGACAAGAAGCTGATGAATAAGAATCTGACTTCCGCCTCGTAAAAAGTCAAACATTGAGAGACATTTTACAAACAACTATTCCTTTTGTGGAGGAATTTCCTGCTGGTGATGCGAGAAAAGCAGCTATAGCTGAGCGAAAGCAGAGCAAAGGAAGTTTATGTTTTCGTTATATATATTTTTTAGCCTATACTAACACATCAGCACAAACTGAGACATGTTTACAGCCACGATGGTAAAATGGATATAAAATTTTGTGGCTCCTAAGGTAGTTTAATTTTTGTTGAAAGGATAAAATGGCTCTTTTTAACATTTGGGTTGCGACCCCTGCCCTGGCCTGTTGAGCCTTGTGTGCAGTCCAAGATAATTGCTTATACTATAAGGCTCACGTTTTGTGGAATGAATAGAGCCATAGATCTGTACAAATATCATGTTTTTCTATTGTTGCCAAATTACCCTGAGTGTCATTTTGTAACAGCCAGTCTGTAAAGCGCTTTGTAGCCCATCTTCTTTGCTGAATTGTACTCTGTTTCTAGCCAATTCCAGCATCTTCAGTCATCACTGTAGTTGACCTAACAGTTTTCATGGTAAAGGCAGATTCAGAATCTGATGTGCGTCTGCAGTTACAGTCTTATTCAGAGTCTGGCCAAATGGGCTGCAGGTCAAATGTTATATTAAAATCTTCCATTTTATCAATGTATTATGTTGCATTAGAACAAATACAAAACAACGAAGGTTTGTGTGCATAAAGCCCGTCCTTTCTCAGCAACACGCAGCTCGTTACTTGACAATGCATCAGCAGAGAGATACAGTTTTGGTGTGAAAAAGCCTGGATTCTATATTTTCACTGCATCTTCAGGAACTGTTCACATATCGAAAAGTATAACTTTTACATAACTATTGCGAAATATTTGTTTTGTAACATGGTAACCTGATCAAATCATATTGAGTAATATCATTCTGTATTCCCATAGTATCTACATACAGAGAAATCTTTTACAGATAAATGGGTATATGATATTGTCATTCAGCTGCAGTGTAAGTACTGTTATAATACAGGTAACTCCACAGCATGTCCAATCAGAAAAGCCTTTCTGGAAGAACAGCAGTTTAATCTAACACAAATATACACCGTTACAAGAATAATTACAGTTCCTGTACATATCAAGATACATTTGTGTAATTAAATGAGTAAAACTGAAGCTGATTCATGTGTATTTACATAAACTGTAGTAATGTAACGAACTGGTCTGGTGTGCTGGGTCAGGCAGCACTGTGATAGCACAGCACTGGCTAAACACAGTGACGTGTGGAAAATACCGCTGATTACTGCCAGCTACACGTTACTGCTGCTGTGAGATTAATTATGAAAAAAAGACTATGTTATCTTAATATTTAAATATTGTTAAATAATGTTATAATGTTTAAATATTTTGGGGTTTATTATCTATTGGGCAAAATGTTTTTTGCCACATGTTCATATCCTGTTCTGAGGGTCAGCCAAGTCAAATAACTAAAAACCCCAATACTCTGTCCCTCTTAATCAGGTGTGTCGGTCAGTAGGTGATCTGTTGATTAGATGTGTTGAACAGTGGCTGGTCTTCGTGTCATGTTTGTAGTTCAGCTAATGTTTTATTCAGGTGTTTTTGTCAGTAGCTGGTCTGTTAATTTGATGTGAAAGTCAGTAGCTGGTCTGTTGATCTTGTATGAAAGTCAGTAGCTGGTCAGCAGATCAGATGTGTTGTCAGTAACTGGTCTGTTGGGGTCTGTGGGTTTTGTTCTCTGCTGTAGACTCACTGCTCCATCTTCATCATCACTGTTGTAGTAAATTCTAGCAGCATCTGGCGCTTAAGTCATTCAGATAAACAAGAAACTTCAATTTTATGCACAAATCATACACATTTATGAATACAAGAACAGTAGCAAGACTACAGTGGCTTGATTGTGTAGTTTGTACCTTTGTTTCTCTTGGTGTGATAAACCACAGCTACTATAATGTGGAGACAGATCACAGTGACCAAGGCAAAGGGTACAAAGGGCAGAGACTGTGGAGGTTCTGCATCACCAGCAGCATCATTCTGGGGTGACTGTCCTAAAATTGTCAGAGCAAAAACAACAACAATGCAAGACAGTAGAACAATTTTCTGAACATTTAAAAATGTATAATACTTTTCTTTGATGGTCAACTGTAGGGAGATTCTCAGTCTTTATTTAACTAACACTCAATTAAATATCTGTTAAATGCAAAACATTCACCTACTCCTAAACCTAAACCTAACCTTGAACCATAGTATTATGTAACATCAATTGCTAAGCAAGCTAAAACTTGGCAACTGAAACTGCCAAAGCTCTAAAATAATATGTATATACATGTATACATGAAGCTGAAGTCAGCTTTTTATTTTCCACCTTCTTATTCGATATTTACATTCCACCTTAAATGGTGCTGCAGTTATACTGATGTGCCTTAAACATAGATTGAATTTCAAAAAAGGAGCTGTTTATCTCAATAAATGAATTTCCACCTCAATAAATGCAACATTAATCATGATATGTTGAACCAGAAGTTACCTAAAAAATTATGACAGCATGACTGCTTGACATCAATTCTATGAAAAACTTTTCAAAATATGTATGTATATAGAAAGTATATAGATCATAAGGGAACAAAACACATGTGAATGTACTCACAAATTATATTCATTATACTATCAGTGATGGGTTGTACCATGGTTGAAATTGGGGCTACACAGTATAAAAGCATATGATCCCCAGTTTCATACGAACCTAGCGTAACAATATGTGGCCTTGAGGGATAATAAGACCTGGACAGACAGCAGAGCAGCTGGAAGGTAAAAGTATTTATCAGATACAAATCATTTCCTGCTAATGTATGAAATACACACACAAAAAAAATCAGATTAACGCAACCAGAGTTCAGATTTGCAAGATAAAAACCATGTAAATGTGACTTCACCAAACAACTTATAAACTAAGGGCCCACTGACCAAACACAGGACTAAATTGATAACAAGGAGCACAGAAAATAATGACCAGACAGAGCTAGGTACCCAAGTTAAGAGGGCTAAAAATACCAATATGAAGAGTGATGAGGGGGTGGAGTTATGTTGGAAAGATCAGAAATCCAAGGTGGTGATTGGGTGACAGTGAAACTGTCCCTAATGTAGACATTATAAGACAGTGTAAATATACATAAACGCTAACAATAATGTAAACAAAACTACAGCATCCACACCCTCACTACAGAACCCTCATTAAAGTCGTTCTTGGAGCATTTGTAATGTAAGACTGACAAAATCTTACACAGTTGATTCAACACACTTTGCATTTAGAATACAAATCAGTGTTGTACCGTCAACAGTGACTCTGATGTCTATGAATCCACTTTTCATAGCATCACACCTGTAATCTCCTCCATCCTCTTCAGTCAGGTGTGATATGAGTAGAGAGAGGTTTCCTGGAGAGTGACCATTAACCAGCTGAACTCTTCTGCTCTGATAACTTTCAATGGGTATCCTTTCCCAATTTTGATTGATGTATTTATTCCAGCTGAATGTCTCAGGTTTGGCACGTAGCTCAGTGCAGGAGCAGGGCAGCAGTACTGACCCTCCTGTATGTGCTATCATATATGATGTTTCCTTGTTGGTCAGAGTGCAGCCTGCAGAAACACACATT